ACACTTTTACTAAAATGGAAAGATGGCCATGTCTTCGTGTTATTGCACCCGAAGAAAACTTTAAGAATTTGCTAGGGTTTCTTTTAGATAGTATTTAGCTTTTCAGGTTTTTGTTGGAGCAGTAAAAATTAATATTGCGATTTCTCACTAATCCTAGTCAAGTTTGTAGATCTAATATTTCTATTATTATAATTTTCTTTATTATAATTCTTTTCAAAAGTATTCTAAGTGTATTACATATTCAGTTTACTCATTTACTCATATTAAAAATGATGCGGCATTTTCTCCCAATGTCTTTTATTTACATAAATATGCATATCTCATCTACGCCTGCTTTTAATCTTTAAGCATATTCAGAGAAGCCAAAAGTATCAGTGTTAACTCTCTGGCCATCATCAAGTAGAGTTCAAACCATTTTCTTTAAGTGTATTGCTTGCTGAATCATTACTCATTTCAACTTGCAACCACTGAAAGTTTGATATTTTGATTGCTATCGTTAGCTAGCCACGCTCTAGAATTTCTTTAACTGATAAGCGACATAGAAACCGAAGTAAGTCAGCTATGATGGATATATATATATATATATATATATATATATATATGCATGTACTCATAGATAGTTGGATAAGCACTTTGTTGTCTCTGGCTGATCGCCATCAGGCAATTAGCACGCCGCCGCCAACAATTGCCGATAAAGTGCTTTGGATACAATTCACAAATGGAGCAGCCGATCAGCTGGTTATTCATGATGCGGGTCAGCCCCCCAGCCCAAACAATTGCCAGTCATTAACATTTTTTTCGTAGCTTGGTGCGAAATTAATAGAGCACATTAAGAAACGTCTCGAGTCGCACATATATGCCAACTCAAATTGAGTAAATTAAACGAAGTATTACGTAAATATATATAATATAAGAAATACTTAAATATGCTTAAAAATGTTGCAGCTAAACAAGTTTTAGTAATGTAAAATTTGTGATATTTAATGGTTTTCTGTTTAGACTTGAATAAATTTTACTTATTAAATGAATATGAGAGAAATTCAGAAAGAAAACTTAGAAAAATATAGTAAACAATTTAGAACCTGAATAAGTTTAAAAATTAGCTAAGACATTTCAAAATCTTTGTCAAATCATAAAAATGTACAGATCTTTCTGTTAAGCCTGTCAAATTTTGTGATCTTAACTCCAAAACTATCCAAAAGAAAAATTCTTCTTATTTGATTTGTAAAGCCCATTGGGGGCGTATCTTCTTAACACATATATGTGATGTTGGCATTTGAATTGCCAAGTAGCAAATTGCTACATATAATAAATAACAATAAAAGTAATAAATAAATTACAAGCAAATAACTTGTCGTTCCGCGCAACTTCTGCTGGGGTGTATGATTGATATTTATTTATGCTATTTTTTGTGTATTTTTTTACATATTTTTTTTGGCATTTTCTTTATATTTGCATTTTCTCGCATAAAAATAAAGATCGTGATCATTTCACTTAAGCCAAAGAAAATATGAAAGAAAAATAGAGAAAAATATTTTATAAAAATAATAAAAATAAATAAATTTAAACAAATAACTTGTCGCCCGGTGAGGCAGCTGTTTAGGGCTCGGCTGCTGGTGCGTATGATTGATATTTATTTTTTCAACAAACACAAGCACCTGTGTTAAAAATTGAAATTCTCATGGCAGGGCAACAACAATAAAATAAATAAAAAACAAACCAAAGCAGAAGCAAATGCAAAGCAAGCAACCGACACAAGAAAATGTGTGAAGTTGGCGTAAAAACCGCAAATGTTGCCAGGCACGCGCTGGTAAACGCTCTCAGATCTCTCGAAAAACCAGGAAAACAGAAAAAAAATTTGAACGGTAAAGTAAATCAGTGGGAGGGTAGCTGGCAGGGCAGTGGCATACTATATCTGAGCCACGTTTTTTTTTCTCTCCTTTTTTTTTGAGTGTTCCAGCTGCCTACACACACATACTTGGCAGAATTTGCATCCGCAATCACTTTAAATGTTTCCGTTTGAATACGCAAATAAATCGAAAAGGATTTCCAATGAATGCTTATGAGTGTCTGCATGTCCCCTCGCAACACCTGCCCCCGGCCGCTACTGCTCGTATTTGAGTAAACCCTTGTTAATGTTGTTGTTTACAACAAGCGTACATGGCTAAAATCCGGGCCAAGGCACAACAGCAACAACAACAACAATTGATAACGTTGTAAAATGGCTACCGAACTGTCAGCTGCTTTTGCTCTATTGCTCCAAGATGCAGCCCCATCCAGCGCGTCACGTTCTCCACCTTTTTTATTCGTCTTGTGGTCAGTCTGAGGGCAAGTAGAAAATATGTATATGCTTTAGGTTTATGCTGAGCCATAAATAAATATGATGCGAGTCCTCACAGACATTGCATTGGGTAGACAGCAGCAATGTTGACGATATGTTGATAAACTTTAACACTACCAACAAAAAGAGACGGAGAGTGAGAGAGAGAGAGAGAGAGTGAGAGACATACAGTGCTATTGTCTAAAGAAATTGGCAAGGCTGTTCCGAATAACTTTCTCTTTATTATATAGAAACAGCATGAAATTTGAATATATTAAATTTTATAATTTAACAGATGTTACTTAATCAACAAAATATTGGTTATTAGTGAGCCTGCTTATAACAATATCAATTTTACTAATTGCAAGTTGATGTTGAAAACAGTTTTCAAGCTGATTTAAAGAAAGTCGATTCCAGTAGCAGACTTTATGAAAGAAAGTATTTACATAGCTTTGTGGTATGGTTTCTAGATGGCAATAGTAAAACGGGTTAATTATACAGAGAAATACTTATATATAGTTATTTAGCTGTCTTTTAATCTATACTCTCTGCTTATTAGTTGAAAATAGCTTTGAATTTATATATAGGGAAACATGTTTCGAGCTTTGTGGAATGTTATATAGCTGAAACAGATTTGTAGCCAAAAAGTATTTATATTATTAAATAAATTTTAGCATGCGAGTAGATATAGTTTGATATTTCATCTTTCTATATTACTATTCCTCTATGATCTTATAGTTTCTCTATGGTTCTATAGCTTCCTTCAAAGTTTGAAGCAAATTTTTGGTATTTGTTGATAGTCTAGTTTTTATTTAAAAATTTTACTATAGTCAGCTACAAAAATTCATCTTACTATTATCTACTGTATTATAGAATAAGTTATGTTATCTCTAGCAACAATCGTCGTAGAATATTCAAACCCATTCACAGCGAAAGTGTTTTCCAAAACACGTTTGGCCATTTCTTTAAAACTCGCTGTGCAGCAACAACAATTTATGCCAATATAGCTGCTCGTATAAGAAGAACAGCAACAAACACACACACAGACACACACATATTCAACATCGTAGTGAACGTCGTCGCTGGGACCAAGTCCTTTGTGTGTGGCTTTGTTATGCCAACCAAAGTATCCTTCAGGCTGGGCTGCCTGACTGGCTTTGCCGGCATTTGTATCGCCGGCTTTGCCCTCTTTTGGAAGTCTTCTCCTTTTTTTTGGAACTTGGCTACGTTACACAAATTTCCCACAGTCTCTGTACCACTGCCCCACATGCCCCACTGTGCCTGCATGTGTGGTATATAGCTGCTATTGTGGCTGGCGCTGCGGTGGTAGCGGCGGCTGCTGCTGCTTCGTCTGCGGGTGGTTGCGCCTAAACGATTTGCTTTTTGTCTGTTTTGTGTCAATTTGAAATCCGCTTTGGTTATGCGGCTGCAGCGGCAGCAGCAGCGGTAGCGACAGCAGCAGCTCAGTTGCCACGCTCGCCATTCCCCCAGTAGAGCCTGCCTTGTGTTACTATCGCAAAGATTTGCGCAGCGGCAATTGTTGGCATTTACAGCTACTTGGCTGCCATGGCAGCGGACTCCGTAGCTGTGCCCCTCGGATCCGGCATCATCAGCTTCAACTTTAGCCTCAGCTTCAGTGGCAGCTTCAGCTGTAGCTCAAGTGCCGCTCGGGGATTTATCAATTGCGTTTATAACAAATTTCGATTTGTCAGCGCAAAGCGGGCAACTTGCATTTTTGCCAGCCAAGTGCCATTGAGCGTCAGCCATAGTAAGTGGCATCTTTAACACGAGATGCTACAGCCAACAAGTTAGCCTGGGCTGGAAGTAAAAAATTCTAGATTTAGTAGAGATTCTTAGGTTTAAGATGAATATATATAGAATGGCTTATGAGAAAAGGAACTGAATAATTGATGACTTAAACTAATAGCTTGATTATCAACATTTTTTCAATCTGAACATTTTCATATCCACAGCTTTTGAGACAACAAAAATCGTTTGTTTATAGCTATGAACTTTCACTTCGTCTGCTCACATCTTTTAATCTCTTATCTACCAACTTATCTTATCTAGCAGCTTATCTTTGAAATTCATTAAATTCTAACAAATTTCATAACTTGCTTATATCTTAATCTCATTTTAACTCATCTTTAATAGTCTCAACTGACATTTAAACTCATCTCATATAATTTAGCAAAAAGTTAGTATATATCGCAGCAACTCATAAATATCGCTAGCAAAAAACTAGCTAAAGGCGCATCACTGATAAGTAGCTATCATTTACAATGGCGCTTAAAAGTCTGCTATGCATTGTAAAAGCTTAAATGCAATTTTCACAGCATCCGCAAGTTATGCCACAGCCGGATAGTTAAGTCAGAGCAACTCGGTCTAAGACCAGTTTCAGTTGACAACACAAAGCGCCTCAGTTAATAGTTAAGACAACTTTCAATCTGTCGCTTGGAGGCAGCCGACAAACCTATATGCATATATCTGTGCGTATATATAGATTTGAAGACAAACTGGATCACAAATCGGCGTCAATAAAAATATCAAAAGCCAAGCTAAATTGAAGAAGTGTTGGAGCAACAAAATATAAAAAAAAAACTAATAACAAATAAAGCTTTTCCAAATTTACATTTTATGTGTAACAAAAGTTTATTCGATTTATTGATAAAAAAAATAAATTTAAATAAAATAAAACGCAAGAATTTGTGTAAGGTGTTTTCCTTGATGTTTACTTTGGTATTGATTGCCTGACTCAATGACACGAGCTACCGATTAGTGCTTCCGGCTGTTTAGGCAATGCTTGTAGCATGCGATGGTGTCACCGGTACTGGCTGTACTGGATGTAATGGCTGCATTGGCTGAGCTGGCTGCACTGGCTGCGCTGGCTGTACTGGTTGTACTGGCTGCGCTGGCTGCACTGTACTAGGTGTTGGATCGTGCGTCTGTGCAGGTGTATAGGTGCTGGCCTGCTCTGGCTCCTTGTCAAGAATTATCTTGTACATGGCAAAGTAGAGAGCAGCGCCAAGGATTAGCTCAGCCACAGCAACGCAGGTAATTACAGCCCAGCCAGGTATAGCAAGGCCAGCTGCAAAGAGAATCAGGCAATAGTTTAATAATGTGAAGTAAGTATTCGATCTAATTGATGGATGTTGATTGAGTCTGACTGTTTATATTATCTGAATATCTGCGAATAGTTCTCAAAATTAGCAATTAGTTTCTTATTGACAAATGTTAAGCTTCGATTTAGATTGTTTCAGCAAATTTTCATGTTGACTGATAGTGATTGATGTGGTTTCATCTTGACTTACTAAAGTATCTGCGTGTTAGTGTGCGTCGTCCGCGATTCACGCGTCGCGTGGCCTCCGTTTCCTGCATGAAGCATGCCAATAGAACTGTAAATGAAAAAGACCAATATAAATTATGATATTTAACACCTTGTCGACTATCAATAGAGAGAGAGAAAAAAAAAACCAAACGAAAAACAAACACGCAAAATTATATGAAGAACGCGCCGTGTGTGGTCCCCATCAAACAGAGCGAACGACAAGACTTAGCACAGCGAATCGCTAGAACGGAACTCATGGAAACCGAAGTTGAGCATTCGTCAAAACAGAAGAGCAGAAGACTTGTTCAAATATTAATAATTAATTATTATGAAACACTTAACAACAACGCAAAAATAAAACAAAAGCAAAATGTATAAAAAGCCCGACGCGAGCGCGCGCGCGCTATCTTCGATGATAAATTAAAGCGAAGCCCAAGATCGGACTCGGGTTCAGGGGGGCACTACATTTAGCTTGTCGGCTATTGTTCCCATTGCGGATGTCAGCTTAGATTGCTATATTTCTATTGTCTCGATTCTGTGCATTGATGTCTATCGCATTCGGTTGACATTCAGCATTTTGTAAATATTCAAAAATTTAATTATCGTGTGAGATTTGGAATTTCGGTCGAAAAAGTCGCTAGGCGCAGCGACCGCGACCAGTGCATCGGTCAACCGCCAAAGCCGAAACTAATTGTTTTTCCATCGTATTTCATAATTTATATGGTGTAATAATAATTGAGCTTTACCCACATCCGGTATTAGCTATTGTTGTGCATTACATTAAGCTCAAACCAAATCAAATATTTATTAAATAAATTGAAATATGTTCAGCATTAAATAAGCATTTATCAATGAAAAATGGAGATAGGCATCCAAATACCGTACATTTACAATAAAATTCTATTTAACCTTTAGCTATTACTCATTGGCAAACAAACGCGATTGGGTCAACGCTGATGAGTAAAGCAACCAAGTTTATCAGCTGCACTGGAACTGATAAGCGCACAATTATTGTCGAGTCTCCACACATTTTAGACTCTATTTATGACACACACACAGAGTTTTGTTACTCATAGGTCTTTAAAAAGATTCCCTTCACTGTTAGTTGGTTTATTCATTAGCACTTTACACATTTTGTAGCCACTTTGTTGTGAAAGAGCCAAGAACTTTTCGACTCTACACTCTAACTGTTTGTGTATATAAAAGCAGAATTAAATTTGCTTGGAAATAATTAAGTTATAGGTTCATCAGTTGAAATCCTAGCTCAGCTTAACAGATAACTATAGTATATATAATAGGTTTGCTTAACTCGGGCCACAACTTTGACTTGATTCATATACTTTAAAATTCATACTCGCTTAACGAAAGTTCACTCTAATAAAAAATTCAAGTTAGTTTAATTTGATTTCTTAACTGGTTTTTGTCACAGGTAATACTCCAATTATAGACAGAATTCACAGGTTTTCTCTAAGTAGAAATGCACATTTTATCTATCAAAATTGATTTTATTGCAAAGATATTTGGATCTTAGCTAGACTGTAGTTGAGTTTATATAATTTTCTTTAAGTGTAGCTATTTCACGGTTCATTTTATTGCAGCAGCAGCATTCACATTCAAGATATATTCCACTAAAAAACTTTGTCACACACACACACAAATCACATTAACTTTACCCAGACATATCACCAAACAGGTGGAGAACTTCTTGGACCACATCATTTCGTCTTGTTCGTTGGGTTGGGGCTCGTTTCCGTCGCAAACTGTAAAATGAAACTGAAATATGTAGCTCGATTTTGGCGAGCAACAAGTGCGAGTATCTTATCGGGAGACCTCTGTTGTTAGCACAATACTAAATAAAGATAAGATTAGATAGGCTGAGGCTTCTTTTGAGTTTGCGCAATGCGAGCAAAGCCCAGAGATAAAAGACAAAAATGTTTTAGTTTTTTTTTTTTACATGTTTTATTATTGTTTCTTTTTTTGTACTCGAATTATTCATAGCTCGTTCTCATTGACTAATACGCTTATTTTAACTTCAAATGAGAGTGCCATAGCCTGGTTTTTTGTTGTTGGCAAACTCAGTTCCTGTATTACGGGGGAGTGTATCTTTAGTGGCGACGGAACTTCAGACGACGGACAGTCTTGTAGCGGTAGCCATCATCGCCAAGGATTTGACCCTCAGCTGGTACATCGATCACAGCCTGCTCAACTGGAGGCAGGTATTCGTTGGCAATCTCGGAGACATCACGGCGTTGACGGTACTTCAGGCGACGGACGGTCTTGTAACGGTAGCCATCATCAGCCAGAGGAGCAGATTCGATAGGACCGGCAATGCCGATATCCTGGGCCACCTCACCAACTGGGGGCAGGTACTCGGCGGATGGGAGTTCGCTGACATCACGACGATGACGGTACTTCAGGCGACGGACGGTCTTGTAACGGTAGCCATCATCAGCCAGAGGAGCAGATTCGATAGGACCGGCAATGCCGATATCCTGGGACACCTCACCAACTGGGGGCAGGTACTCAGCGCTGGGCAATTCGTTGACGTCACGACGATGACGGTACTTCAGGCGACGGACGGTCTTGTAACGGTAGCCATCATCAGCCAGAGGAGCAGATTCGATAGGACCGGCAATGCCGATATCCTGGGACACCTCACCAACTGGGGGCAGGTACTCAGCGCTGGGCAATTCGTTGACGTCACGACGATGACGGTACTTCAGGCGACGGACGGTCTTGTAACGGTAGCCATCATCAGCCAGAGGAGCAGATTCGATAGGACCGGCAATGCCGATATCCTGGGACACCTCACCAACTGGGGGCAGGTACTCAGCGCTGGGCAATTCGTTGACGTCACGACGATGACGGTACTTCAGGCGACGGACGGTCTTGTAACGGTAGCCATCATCAGCCAGAGGAGCGGATTCGATAGGACCAGCAACGCCGATATCCTGGGACACCTCACCAACTGGGGGCAGGTACTCGGCGGATGGGAGTTCGCTGACATCACGACGATGACGGTACTTCAGGCGACGGACGGTCTTGTAACGGTAGCCATCATCAGCCAGAGGAGCGGATTCGATAGGACCAGCAACGCCGATATCCTGGGACACCTCACCAACTGGGGGCAGGTACTCGGCGGATGGGAGTTCGCTGACATCACGACGATGACGGTACTTCAGGCGACGGACGGTCTTGTAGCGATAACCATTATCACCGAGGGCACCCTGCTCGAGTGGCAAATCGATTGGCTCAGCGGCGACTTCTAGGTTATTGTCGACAGGTGGCAGATAATCCGTGGCGATGGATGTAGCCGAGGCAGCTGCGATCACAGCAAAGGCAATAACAAAGAATTTCTGCAAGAGTACAAGAAGTTGGAGTTATGGATGGGTTAGTCCTGTGTGTGCGATTTCCAAGAGGTTATGAGGCTGGCAGACTAACCATATTCAAAGATGCTCCCAGACGATGCGTGTCTATGAGATTAATCCAAATTTGATTCTGTTTTGAAACCAGACCTTACGACACTATTTATACACAGCATTTTGCGAAAAAGTTCTCGCCGCAGCCACTCTGCCATTCACTTTAGAGACGATCCAAAAAATGAAACCGGTTACTGATCCATGCGGCAACTACCGCATCATAGATGTACGCTCGAGATCGTCTGCGTTTGATGTTAATGCTGATGTCGATGTCGATCGACTTCGTTCAACTCGACTACTTCAACTCCATTGATGGCCGGCATTAGCCGCATTTAGGTGGTTTGTCTTGTTAGCTAGTGGCTATTGTTAAAAGTATTTCACGTCGAAAAGTATATCAATTTTACTCTGTGTCTGGCTCTAACATTCAGATACTAAATAATATAATATTCACATATATATATTAAGATATATATAAAACAAAACGAAAGTCAACAATAGATTGCGATGACGATAAAAAGAGCTTCTATAGCAACAACAATCGCATGTTGAACGTGGCGGCCACGATTTCAGATTTTGGATCTTTTGCTTATTTTATTTATTTTTTTTTTATATTTTTTTTTAACTGTCTCAAAACGTTAACAGAATCAACAATAGTTGAGGGCTCTTTGCATTCTTCTTCATAAGCTTTGATAGACTCGATTATTTGTATCAAAAATAATGGGCTGTATGTGCATATGAATAGCAGCTGTTGGGGTCAATCCAAACACACAATCAACTCAATGCCTATTCGCCAGGTAATTGCAAGCGGAAGTTGTCGTTGTTGTTATTGTTATCATTATGGACGCTTCTTCAGTTTATTGACTGATGGACAGCTGCGTATATTGTTTTATAATTTTTTTTTGGCGACTCTTGAACAACGCTTAAGGCCACGCGAAGTGTGTGTGCGTGTGTGCTGGAGTTGTTGTGTGGTGTGTGGACATGATGGACACAAATGCTCTTGAGTGTTGCTATTTTCGGTTACGCCACATTAGGCATCTAATAATAGCCAGATGATACAATAGATCTTTCAATCCAAACGCAAACTTTGGCATATTTTTATTTTCCTAATATCTGCTTATAAAATATATGCTTCTCGCTTGGCCCGTGGCAATTTAAATTTAAATTCAAGTCTTGTGGCTGCTCCAATTGTGCACAAAACACGCAATAAATCTCTCGAATGTTTTCGATTATCATCATCAACAACATAATCATCAACTTGAATCATTATTATGGCGATGTTTCAAGTAGGCGTCTTAGAATGTTGAGCTTAGAATGTGTTGAAGCATTCTCAATCTCGTTTCATGCTATATTTCTGGTGTCCATGACCTTGGCAAAGCTATTTTCGTTCAATTCCTAAACTATATTCACGATAACTAGCGCATATATCTTCGACCAGTTTAAAATCTATAGAAAAACAACAATATATATGCTCCTGTTTCATTTGTCATTTATTCATAGGTAAATGGAACAAAAGAAAACAAAATATATATATATGTATATATTTTCAACCATTGCTATAGAGTATTCTGCATATTTAATTTATATCTGGCAATCAACATCATCATCAAAATGCCACTGCCCAGCATGTGGCAACGCGGGGAAAAACCGTTAAAAACAAATAGAATCGCAGTTGCCGCTTGTGCCAGGCTCCATATCGGGGGAACAAAATATGGGAATACATACATGTAGAACGCTGGAATCAAAAAATATATATGTCTGCATATATGTATGGTCAGGTCGGGCGATCCTTTACGGGCCGTAAAATACGCGTCGGCTGCCGTTTTCAGTTTCATTTTCAATTCATGCATCCGTTCGCCCCCGTCGGCTTATAATATGTGTAACTTATTGTGAGGCACATCCGGTGGCTTGGGGCCCGTCCGTGGGTCAATTTTCAATCATCCAGCTGGCAGAGGCAAGCGGTGCCCCGATTAATCCAATGCATCTCCGTCTGGGAGCACCTCAGCTGCAGATACATTACAAAATTCGTCGAATGCCCCGTGGTGGAGAGTATGCCACGACGTTCGCTGGTCTTATAAACGGGACAGTCATAAATGGGAGCAGCATCCGTACCGGCACGGGGACGCTGCACCTCAGTGTCGCTGCCGCGTGGTATTTCCTCTGGCATTCGAAGCACAGGACGTAAATATATAACAGGCAGAGTATCGAATAAAATTTTCGAAAACGATTCATCCACTTCTTTGGTCTTGCGATTCCAGCGAGCGCCCTCTATGAAAATGCCCTGCGCACACAAAATAAACAAGAGCTAATGAATGTGGTTCTTGCAAAAAATTAGAAAGCTAGAATAGTAAGAATATAATGCTCAAGCTCGTAACAAAAGACAGTTTGACCTAAAAAATCTATTTAACCTAGATTAAAAGGAAGAAAATAGTAAGGCCTTAGATCAAATAGCGAAGTAGTTCAAGGTGATGTTGGGTGATATTAGAGAAAAAAATTTGTATGTGCTTCATTATGTGATTAAAATGAAATTAAGAAATAAATTATCAAATTCTACCTTAACCAAGACTCAAAGTAAATAATTTAATTATTTATAAAATTGGTTTAGTTCGCTTCGGAATACAATTTTGACTTTTAGAGTCTTTCTTACTTGTATAAACTTTGTCTCATCATTAATCTCTTTTTGTTCCTAGAGTTTGGTTTGTCCACAAATATATTGTTAAAATATGTAACAAGTCTTTCAATTTTGTTCATTGATCAGTCCCATACTTACCCTGATATAGGCGCCCACACTAGCGACCTGTGTGGTTTGCGTCTCAAATTTGGTGACTGCAAACTCAATGAAAATCATGTCAATCTGAAAGCGATTCTTGCGCGAATAGTTTTGCAGGACGCCCGTTATGAAGGATTGGGTGAAGTAGAAGCCCGATATCCAATAGACATTCGGCTCACCGTTGTCTATCCACTCCTGAAAGAAGGCCAAGCTGGACATGGGAGATAGCAGCAAAAATGGGTGGATGATGAGTTATCTTATTTTTCAATTTGTTAATAAACATTTAATATTTGAACACAAAGAACTGGGACTGCACAAAGCCCTGCCAGCAGCCCACACACACACAAATGGCATCGTCCTTTGATGTCAATGGCAAATAAGATTTTCGCTATGAATGGCAGCAGCAGCAGCAGCACATACGGCATAGGGCCTTATGGAAGGTGGAAGTATGTATGCCTCATATACATTTTTATTATATTTGCACAATTGCAGCAAAAGGACGCAACAGCAGCAATGGCAGCAGTGGCAGCAGCCGGAATACAATGCCCATTGATGGCTGTAAAATAGAAATGTGACAGAGCGCACTCACCGGGCCAGAAAGTCGCTCACGTAGCTGCCCAAAGGCTTGAGCGACGGATAGCTCTTCTTCAACCAATCCGCTGGCAGTTTACCTATAATCATGGACGCATGTGTGCGCTCCAATTCGGGTATCATCGCTATCTGACCGACTACAGCTTTGCCCACATTCACCAGGCTCTTGCGTATATAGGAGAGCAGACGATTGAAGCGTATTAGCTCTTGCCGTAGCACCGTGTTCATTGAATTGGTATAGACCACGGGATATGTCTTGGACACCTCGGCGAGGTCGAATTCTTCAGGCAGGCGACCTAATAATTCCTTACATATGGCTATGGCCGGATCTTCCTTAGCGCCGCTTGCCGAACTCGCCTTCACCGAGGCCATCAAATCGGTCTGCGTGAGCAGCACTCCGTTAATGAGCTAAGAGAGCGATAGATAAAAATACAAATTGACTGTGATATATATGATGATATGACGTACGGCATTAGTTTCCTTCACATTGCGATTAATATCCGCATTCTCATGCAAGCCATATACCTCGGGCTGCGGACTCAGCGGAAACGTGGATACATACTCAATGGAGTTCAGTTTTGTTGGACTCAGAGGCACACAATAGTTGCCCGACTGTGACAAGGCATAGCTGAGAGAAAAGAGAGGCTCTTACAAAGGTTCATCAGTCACTTATATGATAAGTCTAATACTTACTTATCAACCTCTATTGTATTGCTATTGTATATCATGTTCAGCAGCGACAACATCAGACGACGATCCTTGTCGTCGGTCACACGTCCGCCGTAATTGCACTCGCCTGTCAGATAGACATGTCCACGGAAGGGTATGCTGTGGTTCTGCGCAATGAACATCTTCAACTGCAGCAAGGAGATTCTAAAAAGAGAATGTTAACAGAGAAGAAGAGAATGTTTCCTCTTTATTGCCATAAATACTCACTTTAGATCCGACTCATTGAACTCGTAGGGTATATTCCAGCCTAGGGGACCGAACTCGCGCCGCTCCTGCACGACAGCATGGAAGAAGACCAAAGCAAAGACGCCGCGCAGCCAACACTTGTTGGCCTGGTCAGAGAACAGGAAGGCGTTTGTAAAGAACTTGTCGCGCATTAATGGATCTGAGGTAAATGAGCGGTGCATATTGGCTCGCAAACCCTTGGGCGGCTCGTTTGTCATCTTCACTGAGTTCTGCAGCACTGAGACGGGAAATACGGAGCTTGGATATGAGGTGCACCACAGGCGATAGTCGGCATGTGCGTTCTCCGTTAATGTGGTGTCGTTGCAAATACGCTCCAGGTCACCCATCCAGCTGAAGGCGACGTGACAATTCTGCAGAACGACCCATTGGCCATGACGCACTGCGTCCGTGATCATCTTTTCTGCACGCGGTCCTTGGCCCTGACCCAACGAAATCGTTTTCGTTCTAGAAGAGACACAGAAACAATAGGGGGAAAACCACGCGCTTAGCATAAATTTGGTTTAAAGTTGCAAAAGTTATCGCTGACAGCGGAGCACAGCTGCAAAACAGCTCGGCTGCTGCCACCGCCCACTCGCAGTGGAGCAGAGCATGCAGCCAGCCTCCACATATCCGGTACAAGTCGGCACATGTCGCGCTTAATCGAAAACAAGCCCGTGCCCAGCAGCGGGCGGCGCATACATGCTGGATACATGAAAATATGAGGCACAGTCTACGTTAATTAACTTACTTTTCGTACATGTTGCGTTGTTTGGCGAACATAAAGAGACTGGCCATGGGATCGGAGCCGGCTGAAAGCAAAAACACCAGCGGTATTCTTGGCGAGCTGTCCGCGAACGAAGCGCCCAAATCGAACGGCGGCGGCTCCACAAACGACCTGTCCAGGTTGCGGGTGATGTACGCCTGTGTTGATAGCAAATTAAATGAGATGTGCCCATGACACATAACACCCGAATGAATTTACTTACACGCACAGCTGGCACCAGTTTGTCTGGTCGCATGCTCTTCAATATGATCAGTTTCAGCATCTCGCTGACCTCGTTGTAGGGCGCTGGCAAGGGCATTTCTTGTGGATTGGTAGCATCGTAGTAATCGCGCCACTCATTTAAATTTTTTTTCATTTTCGAATGTAAGTTGCTGATGCTAAGAGCAGAGAAATATATTCAGAATATAGTGTGTGATTGATTGATTGTCCAAGTCTTACCCATCCAGATCGCTGGCTCGGTAGATGCCCGCCCACGCCTTTTCAGGCAGCCAATCTTTGTATGGATTGGGTATGATCGACTTGAAGCCAATGCCGCCAGTCAAGAAAAACAGCAGCTCCTCCTTTTCCAGACGGCCCTGGGAGACCAGTATACCCAAGCACATGACCAGCGATATGACCAGCTTGTCCTTCTCGAATAGCGAACGGCAGACGTTGGTATAAATGGATTTGGTAAAGAAATCGTTAAGATTCTGTAAGCGCTCCAGCAGCACCGCCGACTTGGGCGCCTTCAATATGGTATTCACGAAGAGATTTAGAAACCAGGCTAAGGAATACTGATACATCGGATCCACATTGGCCAGCTCGCTGATGCAGAAGAATAAAATGGCCGAGTGCTTGGCCACGGGTATATACTGCTGTCGTGCTGCGTCGATTTCGATTTCGGTGGCAACGGCAATAACCTGCTTCTCCTGTATGTCTTCCGATAGGATCTTACTGGACGATAGTATATTGATGGCATTCTCATCCTCCAGCACATTGCCCTCCGATGTGGACAGCACCTGTGAGCATAGAAGTAGAAGTGGAACCACTTAATATAAGTCTTGCGCAGATTTAAACGTTTTATTTCCAGTTAATTGAATTGTCATTGGCCGAGCAGCGAAACATAAATAAAATATTTGCTCTAATTGAAAGCCAAAAGGATGCTCAATGCAAAAAAAGCAAAAAAGAAAAAAAAAAGGAAAGAAAAGAAAACACATTTATTATAGAAATAAAGCGAACGGGGTGGGACTTACCTCTAATATCTGGGATTCAATGGTGTACAATGCATCACGATTCCTTGCGGATTCAATAATCAATTGTTCCTTCTTCTCTTGCAAATCGGGACGCTCGTGTGCCACAACAATCGCCAGCAATTGTTCGCGTAATCCTTGTTCAGTTATCATGAAATTTAATACTGTTACCTAAACAGCCAGCAAGCAGAGTGGAGAATGAAAAATGTATATATGCATGTAGCACGTAAAATGGGAAACTCCAAAATAAACACACACACGCACACACATACATAATGTGCCGCAGTAGAAAAATAAAGAAAAGCGAATAGAAAAACTGCTGACAACAGTTGCAGCAGCAGCAGCAGCAACAGCATAAAAAGCAATGGAAACGCCAACAGAAGCGAAATGCTGGAAAATTTTATAAACACGCCAACGGCCAGGACCCAGGACTAGGAGCTAGAAGGCAGCACTATGGAAAGGGGTTGGAGAGCTTTGGTTTTGCCATTGAGACTGCGACTAAGACTGGGCTGCTAGTTATGCAGCAGCCAGGCTCGCACGTACATCAATGGCAAGTCCTCAACTCATCTTCTTGTTCTCGTCATCGACGTCGTCGTCGTCAATGGCATCGAAAATTTGCATATTGGCAGCGCCGGCTGCTGCGCTGCAGCGCATTTTCCAAATATCAATTTAAGTTCGTCGTTTTTATTACACAACACACTAACGTCATCATTGGCTTGGCTTGCCACAAAACTCACAGTTCCAGCTTGTACGCTGCTTGGCTCCATTCCTAACTGCTGTGGACGACTGTCTGCATATGTCAACTTACCATAACCATCACTTCCGGCGGATAGTGCGGATTGCGCAGACAGGTCGTTATGTAAAGACGAAAATTGGGATTGTATTCAATCATTGTGTCGCCACTCCTTATGAACAGGCCGCCCTTGCTCTTGATAATGTTCTTCTCCAAGATGGGCGTTAGATTCGAATCCAGTTTCTCGCCTACATGAAGAGATGGATATTGATATATAGAAACAGATACAAAGAGAGATGTAGATATAGATATAGCTTACAGTTACTATATATGATTTTATGACTTACCCACATTCTCTATGAGCACAGGTTGTCCATAGGTCAAGGCCAGCTCAAGCACTTGCATATAATTGGAATCGCTCTGCTTAATCACCTTCAAATTATTGTTTTTCTCCATATTTTTGATCCACTTGTTTGCTTGCACTACGGGATATTTGTTGTAGCATAGAGTTGATAGTCTGCTTGTTCACTCTACTTACCCTGCGGATCGATGAGCAAGGAGTAGCGACTGCTATTGGCTACGATGATGCCATTCTCCACCGAAAAGTTATCAGCGGGCAGTCCGGCCAACGACCAGGCGCGTATTGTCATTGGATGACCCAATGTGGTGGCCAGCGAAAAGGTCTCACTGCTGGGTATATGATGTCGAGCGCAAATGCTATTCCAATCATCCAAAATATTAGCGCGATACTAAAGAAAATTAGAAAGAAAAATGTCATAACGGCCTGGCAGATGTAAAGGGCACAGAAATAGTTTTCGTATAATACATTCATGGAGAGTTAGTTAAGATATCAACTAGATAAATTCTATAAAGTACAAACTGTGCCACTCTATTATTCGATAACAACATTACGAATTGCTTTGCCTAGTTGAGTGCTTTTTTCTTTTTACATCAATATGTCAGCGTTTTTGCATTTTTTGTGAGCTGGACATAGAAAACTATTTCTATATACTTTCCACATATATAATATGTGCATAAATATATATATGTATAAAAATGTCACGTCAGCTATAAAACTAAGCACTGATTAAAAAAGAAAAGCTGCGCAAAAACAAGGTAGAAATATTAAAGAGCTGCACGAAGTCCAAATACTCTGTATTATGAATATTGATAGTATCATGGATAAATGTAACTCTATCAGGTATAGAGCTGCTACGAAGTTTACAGCATGATAATTTAATAGCAAATGATTTCCTCTATTGATATTATCTATGTGAACATGTTAAGCTCTTTCATCGCATTGAGTAATTGAGAGCTCAGAGCTACAACAACTGAGCCTGCCTGTCTGATACGCTCATCATGGTGTAATCTACACCCTATTGTGGGTAGCTATATATATATACAATTTTTTTACTGTCCAAGCATAAACAGAAAAAAAGAAGAAAAATATGGGAGAGAGGAAGAGGGGAAAAGGAAATCAATGCAACGTGCTCATGCATATTAAAATCCTTTATGGAAACCGAGCACGGCGACCATTAGCTGTGCTGCCGAAAGAGCACAGTTTTCGCACAGTGTTCACAGTTCCCAGAGCAATTGCTGCATTTGTTTGTCTAACACTCACTTCGGTGGTGAAGAAGCCCAGGTAAGCGGTGCAGCCACCAGCGAGCAGCACATCGCCCACAATATTGCTGATGGATTCGTGCAGGGTCTTCGCTGCCTCTGACCAGCGTGTCTTCTCGCCGCCCAGGCCGCCCAGCAGTTTTTCAGCTCTGCAATAAATGAAGCAGAGAAACTCATAAAAATGAAAATTAAACGAAAAAATTCGTTTTACGCTCACCTGTTCAACTTTTTCTCACAGTTCTCTATGTCGTCTTCGAGCCGCTTCTTCTCGCGTGATTTCTCTGCAAAGAAATCGTTGAGCTTCTGCAACTTGTCTAGAATGACCTGCAGCTCGGCGCGTTTAGCGTTCAGCTTCTCCATTTGCTGTGACAGATCGCCCTCAGCTTCGGCCAGCGCTGCCTTTTTGGGCATGACGATGCGTGCCACCTTGTCGTAGACATCCATGGCACGCACCCATCTACAAATGCCCTCGCAAGCCATGGAAGCGGCCTTAATCTTTTCTGGCACGAAGTCTCGATCAGCTATATACCTGAGATTATATGGCAAAACAAAGTTATATATAAATACGTATATATATATATGTAATCGAGTCCCTTACTTATCTCGTATCTTTTTAATAATGGCCGGCGGTATGTTGTCCTTGTCGAAGGTCTTGAGCGATTCGAGGAACTTCATGTCGCTGAGCATGCGCATAGATGGACCCCAATAGTCCTCCACCATATGGCCACTTGGATCTGGTTTACGATCAGGCTTTATGCCCTTGAGCACGCAAACCGCCTCCAGAGTTAACTTGACGCCATATGGCGGATTCTTCATGGACTTCACTACGCCAATATCCGCGGGCTTCAAAGTGTTCAGCGCTTCGAGGGCTGCCTCCATTGCAGGAATTGCCTCTGCAAGATCCGTTTCGCAATCGTCCTTGATGGCTTGTGCCGCGGCAGCTGCTTCATTGGCCGCCGCTTCATCTGCACCCACCACTTCTTTCTTCTTCTCGGCCTCTGCCGTCTCACGCTCAATATTCACCATAATGCGATCGGTTTCATCGGATAAGATCTTCAGCTTCGGCTGCAAGTCGTACAGATTAGTCTGCATTTCACCCACCTGACTGGCAGCAAAATCCAACTTCTCTAAGCCAGTTGTGTATCTGTCCCTCAATCTAGTTATCTCATCGATTTTACGAGCGTAGAATGTGCGAAAGGCTTTCAGCAGCTCTAGATAAGCTGAAGGCGTCACATAATTGCGACGACCCAACTCCAAATAACATTTTTCACTAGCATCCACCACGGATTGATGGAAGTACATGACACAAACGACCAAATCTTCCTCTAGCTGTGTTAATTCCCGTTCAACTTCGCCTATAGTCTTGTGTTTCTCACCCTCCTGCAACTCCTGCGCTTCCTCGGAAATCCTTGGCGTCTCCTCGTGTGGCTTATTTAGATTCATGGACGTGACGAAATAGGTGCCCACGCGCGAGAGCGCCTCCTCCGGCCAGGGCATATACCAGTCAATGGTGCAGCAATTGATCAGCGAGGGATAGACTCGTATGCGTTCCTTGAACGAATCTCCGATTGGCGAAAAGGCGAGCGCTATATGCAGCTGCTCTCTTATTCGTTCAATAAAATAGGCATACACCTCGCTCGGCAGCGTGTCCAGCACTTTGCCCTAAAGTGGAGTAGATAGATATATATGTACATATATACATGCAGCAAGTAGAATCGTTACACACTCACCAATTGCTTGGCCACACTGGCCATATTCTCCATAATGGTTGCCTTGTCCTCCAGTTGATACAGATTTGGCAAATCACCTGTATTAAGTATGCCATTGATATCCTCCACATAGCCCTCATCCGTTGCCTGTGCAAAAGAATAAAAACAAAAAATAACAAGTGTCCAGAGAATAGCCATACTGTCCAATGCAAATCTCTAAGCTTTGCCCTATTTCATATATGCAGAGCTTGCCCGCACAGGATGCCAAATGTAAACTGCAATTGCAATTGCAACTGCAACAGCAACAGCAACTGCAACTGCAACTGCCACTGCACCTGCAGCTCGAGTTGTTACATGCATTTTGCATTCGCTCTAAGTGCCATAGGATTTGATTCTATCCAAAATACTTCACATTGAAATTTTAGAGTTGCCTAGCCCCGAGGCGGAGTCGTCGCCCGAATCCAAGTTGTAGGCTCTTTGAAGCATTTTAGTGTAATTGTTAATTAATGTGTGCAACGAGATTTGTTTGTCGATGAGTGTATGAGAGAGTGACAGAGAGAGAGAGAGTGGGCGCTAGCAGGAAACCTAAATACGGCATTGATTGATTTGCCAGGGAGTTGAATTTGCTCATGCAAATGTTACCATTGCCAGAACAAAAGGTATACATAATCACTTTAACAATACATCAGCAAAATGCAATAGGTTTGAGCTTAGATTGTTGTGGCTCAAGAGCTCCAATAGATAAGTATATTTTATATTCAAACAGCCAAACAGCCAGAAGCAATCATCAAAAGTAACTTACGAATGCGTAAGGCAAGCAGATGCGAGGATTGAATACAGTTACTAAATGGTTGGCTTTATATAAAGTAGAGATATATGTAATATATAGAAAAATTATATATAATAAATTATAATAAATTTATAAAATATAATAAATTTATAACAAGTCACCTCTACACACGATGTTTATAAAAATAGTAGTGCGACTAAGAACTAATTTTAAGATAAATTTTAATTTTAATAGCAAAAATCAACTCTGTACACACTGTAGAAGACTTTCTTTAAGACAAAGTTGATATGGTTAAAATATATACAGAATTTATATAGATGTTTTTATGATAATAGTAGCTCTACAAAATTTAATGAGAGACTTAATATTGTATATGTTAAGACTTCTTATCTTAACATCTTTCCGTAATTTGTTCCTGTGAGTTGCACTTAAAATTGCTTTCAAGATGCTCTCATCCAATTAGTTGCTTAAAAAATATTTCATAAGAGTAGAGTATTCAGAAATCTCTCATATACAATTTGATATATTGCACTAATTATTATGACAGACTCGCTCGCAGATGCATTTATAATTTCATGAGATATTGTTTAATCATGTTGATTCGAGGTTTCGGCCCATAAATTAAGCTTTAATTCAGATTTCAAATTTTACTCAAATCTTGTATGCAGCGCAAAGGCTCTTCAGTTGCCATAATTGATGTGCTGCTGTGTATGCAAATTATTTGGCAATAATCAAGTTACATAGCTCAACAATTAACCTAATTAGAAATGTAAATTTTGGCACAAACAATGAGTGTTGTCTTTGACTTGGCTTAAAGCGCAGCTAACAATAAGCCCAAATTTGATTTTTGTTGCACAACAACTGTTTGTGGGTGTGTGTGTGTGTGTGTTTGTCTCACGCGTGCTAACAATATTTTAAGTGATTTAGATTAGTTTCCATTTGGTATTCTACGATTTTTATGGGTTTGATGTACCCCGCTGACATTGATTTTAGTTTTGTAGAGCTGTCAATGCGGTTTACAACATTATTAAAACGTTTTTTATTAGCCTTCCAACTGGTTGCTGAGATGATTATATGCTGATTATCTACACAAAATGACTCGTTGCTAATGAGCTCAAACAGAATCTTAACTCACCTGAGCATCGGAGAATAGGAACACGGTGTGATTTATATTGAAACTTGATGCCATAAGTATCTTTTTGAGATCATCGCGCCAATCGGCTATTGTGTATGATTTGGACACCTGGACGGTCATCAGGCGGCAATCGGCTATGTGAGCAGCCAGGCGACAAGAGCTGCGTCGGCCTGAACCACCCATGCCGACCATCAGAATGTTGCCTCGAGGCATTTGCAGCACACGAGAGACTCTGCGAATGGTTAATCATAATAAGATTCAATCATAATAAGCTTTCAGCTACCTGCTGACATGCTCGATGGCAAATCGAAACATGACCAAATCCATCGGCGAACTGGAGAAGGAGTTGTAGTCTTGCAGATAGTACTTCATGAGCTTCTCTAGCTTTTGATAGCTGTCGCATTCGTCATAGAACTTGGGCTCCGCATCCGGTTCCATGTAGTTGCCAAAGAAGAGATTACGTATATCGTTGTCGCTCAACTTCTCGCCCGGTTCAATGCGCTCTGCGAAAGCCGATTCGAGCGAGAAGCGTAAGCAGTTCTTACACGCATCAATGGCCATAATTAGAAGACGATCCCGATCCAGCTGGTCGACCAAACTGCAATGGCGACAGACAGACGGCAACAATAAGAGGGGCGAATGGGGTGGCTTCATAAAAAGTTAGTGGAGTTGCATACCGGTCATAAAACACACGATAAGTTTCATGCGCCCACAAACGACCCATCTTTTCCGGATCCGGCATACGCTTTGGCGGCACCATCACAATACCCTGAAAGACGCGCGTGATATCTCGCAAAGAAAAGGTATAGTGCGACTTGGCTGGCGTGGGCAGAAAGATGCGCATTGCCTCGCGATAGACGCTGACCATTGCCTCTGCCAAGCCCTACAAAAAAAGAAACGGTGACATATGAATATGTATAGATACTTGTTCAACAACAACAGGAAGGCAACGTGAGAGGGCAAGATAGAACGAATGGCCATTCGAACTTTTTTGCAAAATGAAGTTATAAAATTCGCCATTTTAATTTTATTATGCGCCAGCGCCTGGCAGAGAGCCAAAATGAGTAGCAGGCGGCGGACAATTGGACAGAGATTGTACAGTCACATTGCTGTTGTTGTTGTTGTTGTTGGAGGAGGAGGAGAAGGTGGACTGTGGATTGGTGGTACGTACACGCGATAGCAGGCCCACCTTCTCGGGATAGCCCTTGGCAAAATGCCAATCACCAATCGTCGTGAATATACGTATGATAGTTGAATCCTCAAAGGAGTCCACGGCCACAACGAACATGTGGCGATAGAGACGCGGAAAGATAAAATTGCTGCCGCCCAATGTGCCCATAGCACAGACCAAAGACTGAAAGAGATGACAGTAAAGAAAGTGAAAGAGAGAGAGATGCTCAACAAAATGTTATATTTCAGTCAGGGAATTGTTGACAATTAGCAGTCACTCACCATATCAATCAGCTCGATTTTCGTGGTATCTATTAGATCCGACCAGTAGCCATGATCTAGCCAAGTGCGCAGAAGTTCCAGCGGAGCCTGTGAGCCGTACGTATCCTTGGAGGGCATGGCCACATCATCACAAAAGACTATGCACTATATAGGAAAGAGATATAAGATATATAAGAGATATAAGATATATATGTTTAAAGTCGATAACCTTCTTACCTTCTTGCCTAATGCTGGTCCATAGACGCCCTTGCGTCGTCGATCCAGCTTGCTCATGATTGTATCCTGCACCATTTGGGCCGAGGTGCGTGCAGAGAAGTTGATAATATTGATAATATTGGCATATTTGGGTAGAGCCAGCAAGTTGCTAGTTATTATGGCGCTCTTGCCCGTGCCAGTTGGCCCGATGACCAGCAGACTAAAGGATTTGGCTGTGCAAAACTCCTGCCAGTAGGATATGTAGCCCGTCTCCTTGGTAGGCACAATCAGTTCGCTGATTTGCGCAGACTCCGGGAAATGTGCGCTGCCCGATGACGGATCATCGGATGACTTTTGCCAAGTCCACCAATTTTCGGCCTCATCGAACCGATAGTCGAGAAAGACTTGCTTCTCGGGAAACATTTGGCCGCGATTCAGTGAGAAATACTTGGGTTTCGGGAAGTCCTCGTTGGAACCATAAATCACCTTGCGCAGCAGCGCATCAAAGGTCCGCTGACCCGCACCCGTCAGAGCCGAGCAGTAGGCCCACGCATAGCAGAAGAGAAACATTTGCTGGAACCAAGTCTGATTGAACACCTTGTGCTTCTCGAGAAAGTGCAGAAAGAAGCGTGAGAAAGTCTGGTACTGATAAATTGGTGATAGCTCCAGCATTTGCTTGCACTGCGGTAGAAACTCCAGGGCAGCTGGTATCAGCCACTCGATCATGTCCTCAAACAGATTCATATAGATTTCGTTAAGGCCCACAACGTTGATCAGCACGTTACAGAAGCTCTTGTGGAAGGCACGCCAGCCCAGCTGCGAGGGCTCCATATAGATCATGCCGCAGCGGGAAACGGTGGCCGGTGATGCCTGCTCCAGATCGGCGGGCTCGAACATCATGTTCATCATCTTGGTCATTTGCATAATTTCGCCGGACATGAGACACAGTTTCTTATTGTCATCCAGCACGGTATTTAAGTTCTCAATCCAAACCGCATCCACGGGTCCATCAAACATGACCCAGGCGCGTTCCGTTTTCGGTCCTTGCACCTGCTCCCGAAACGTTTTGGCCAACACACCGTCCGACCATTCATGAGAGATGGGATCAAAGCGTCCATAAAGCTGACCCATGGTAATTGCCTTGGGATTAATAATGCGAAAGACCACCGGATATTCTTTGAGCGTTGCCTGCTCATCAAGTGAAACATTTCGCAGCGTCTGGGCGAGCATCTACATAAAATTGCAATCGCGTTGGACTCGTGCTGAATTATTTAATTCCCTGCTGCACTCACCTGATAGGCTGTCGTCTTGCCGCCCATAGAGCCGCCCACTATCATCAGACCGTGCCGCACCAGCATCATCTCGTATATCTGCATTATTTTTTCCAAATACCAAGGCGTTGCCTGCAGATTTCTCTCCGCCAGATTAATACGCAGCCACTTGATTATGTCATCGCGTACTGGCTAGAAGGAGCGGCAGACAGAAGGTGGTTAAGCAGGTGCAGGCGGCCCGACAGAAGTGTCGTTAAATGGCAAAGGAAAACAGGTGTAAATGAAATATGAAAAATATGCAATGAAATATGCGAGCAAAAAAACGAAGCGAAACCAGTTGAATGGGCATTTCATTATGGACGTCCGCAAGGAGTTGCAACTGATGCTTTATATAGTTGGTGACACGAGGAACCCAATACGAAGTAAAGTTATATATGAATAATTAATAATAACTCATTAAACTCTTGTCCAGAACTACTTAAACAATAAGTTATTAAATTATTGGGAATACGAAACGAAAAATGGGGAAGCAAAGCTTTATGAATCTTGCTCATATATAAGTCAAAAACCAGGCAATAATTCCCTTATGCTACTTGTAGAATAGTGCGATAGGGCATTGAGTCTTCCGCGTGCATAAATCGTCCGTTTTTAATGTGGCCTTGTCCACGCATCTGTCAGCCGGTTATCGCATTAATTTGCTGTTCTTAACGGCGTCTCTTTCAGCTCATTACACCTGCACTTTATGAATTTCTATGTGAGAATTGGAGATGGAGACTTACCATGGGCAGGTCGACGCCCGGGAAGAGATCCATATAGATGCCAATGAAGAGGGAAATATCTTGCTCGAGGAATTTCGGCAGATTGACATCAACAATGGCGCGCAAAACAATCTGGGGCTCCGGCAGGTCAGCATAAAGGCGACGCAGCGATGCGGATGCCAATAGCACGGATTTCACGGCGCGCATACCTGTTCGAATTAAAGGAGAGAGGGTGTGCAGGTGGCATGGCATTAGCTTGACAGTTATGCGGCATTTTGGCGATGTGCATAACTGAGTCACGGGTTTGTCTAAGGTATTTACAATCGATACCTTGGATAAGCCAACCGGAGCTTCATTACAGGCAGGCGACAAAGCAAAATGCAAAAGTTTTTCCAACTGGACAGAGGCAAACAACAACAACAGCCACTGAAACAAGCAGCAACTAAATGTACAAATAGTTTTTATTATTACTTTGCAAAACAACACGCTCGCACACACACACACACACAGGCAGACAGACAACATTGTGTGTGTGGCATTTGTCTCTCACACACGCAGCACAAAAGCGCAAAAGCAAAACTTGCAAGAAAGTTTTTCAATTTAAACTCAAAATAAGATACTGATCAAATGTACTTTGCACATAAACTTGCACAGCTGCCAGCCTGCAATTGCAGTCATCGGCCGGACACATACACACAAACACACACAAACACGCACACACGCACACGCACAGACATGTTGTAATGTCATATGACATGTTATGTCGTAAAAGCGAGCAATATCTTTGCCTTGAAACAAGAAAGAAAACAGGAGAGAAAAAAAACACACACACACACACACATCAGAACATGCCGGATGCAGCATGCAGTAAAATAGCGCAGGACATAGTGCACAGGATGCAGGACAAGCGCAAAGTTGTTTGCCTCAAAGTTGGGCTTGACTGCTTTTCTACCTTATTAGTCAGTTAAAAAGGTAGCCCACCACATAAAGCACGCGTAAAAAGCTAATGAAATCAAGCAAGAGATATGGGAAAAGATATCGAACTTAAGATAGAGAATGGAGCAAGTGATAATAGATATATGATAGTGTAAGGATGTAAGATATTGAGTAAAAGAAAAATATATACTATATAAAATAAAATATGAGATGAAGTGGAATAAAAGATAAAATATCTTGAGTGTAGCTTAGATAGTAACGGAACGATAGAAATCGAAAACATAGAGAGCTAGATGTATAAGTGTCAATAGATGAAGTATAGATATATTTGTAGATATAAAATACTGTAGATAAGTAGGTAGGTAGCTATAGATATATGCATGAATAGAAGCAAAGGTAAAGCAGCGATGCATATACATAGTTATATAAAAACAGATAAATATATATATATATACCATAATCATAATGGGATTGCGAGGACAGCTGCTCCGAGCACAATTTGTAGGCCTGCACAATCTTCTGTGACAACACACGTGCCATATCGAAGCCGTTAGAGTATAGTGTTATCTCGCCGATCATCGCATAGTCCGGCACCATCATAGCCACCGTACGGAACAGAACCTTCAAGTTATCGGGCAGTTCTGTGCGGCCAGCATAGCTAAAGAGTGGAGAGAGAGAGGAGGGGGGAGAACGATTGAAACGATTCAAGAGCCAATGGCCAATCAAATACATCAAATTGCAAGTGCTAATGGCATAAATAGTAAAGCCGGACTACAGAGCCAAGCAATAACTAGCAATATGAGTGACTGCTTTTAAGGAACGTCTGGCTGAGTGACAAATTGGCAGGCAAAAGACAGACGCAAAAAATGCTAAAAAGAAAAAGTTTAGGCATGGATTGTAGAATATTGAATGCCCTGATCGAAAAATTTATGTTCGTCAAGGACTTTTATATTTATGGGCGATTTTATGTTGTATAGAAGATTTTACTGATGGCCTATTTATGCCCTATTATTATTGCCAGATATAACATGTTAATCCTGCTTTGCCGAACTATGAAACTTGCTAGCTATTAGAAACAGTCAGAGGTAGCTATAAAGAATAGCTATGTGAAGCTCTTGAATATAGCTTTATTAAGATGGGAGATAATTCAATTCAGATGAGAATTCTGAGAAAACTATTTAAATACAAAGACATTAATCACAGTAATAAAAAATTCGGTTGCCTTGCCATAAGGTAACGTAGCTAGAAACAAAACCACAATACCCGCTGCAAATGGCTAAAAAAAGGCTAAACTTTCTGGCCAGCTAAAAAAAGAAGTACGTGAAGTTGAAAGCAAGGGAAATTAAGACCTTTTTCTGAATGGCAACGCTTTGGCACAGAGTCTGAGTGTCAGTTATGGCCGTTGCGTGTGGTGCAGGGCGGTGCAGTGGCTGGTCGTAGGCCTAATATGCATGTTTGTCGCAGCTGTTTCACATATATGCCAAAGCAATAAATATCCGCAACCGTATGGGGCACAAAATCTCCAATAACGCAATAACTACCAATATCGGGACCAAGCCCAAAGGCCCGCCAGCTAGGCAGCCATTGGTAACTAATAGCCCCGGCTACGAGTCGAGTCGAATCGAACTCTGTCAGTGACACTGTTTTGCCCCACTAGGCATGGTCGTAGATGACATAGGCCGTGTGTCGTAGCTTACAAAGTAACTAAATGCATTTTCAAATGCACAGCGGAAAAAAAAAGCGAAAAGAACGCGATGCGTGAAACCGCAGCTGCTGCTGCTGCTGCTGCTGCTTTTGCTAGAGCAACAGCTTCCTGCTTCGTGGCGCCTGCTACTATGGCACTCATCTCACGTGCCACTCACCCAGGATTCATGGTTATGAATATGGTGCAAGTTGGATCCAGTTTGAGCATTGTATCCTCGAAAAAGAATTTCACAACCTTGCGTCCAATAGCCCGCTGTATGGTTAGAATCTGTTGCGCCACCACCGACAGCACCTCCAGCTCTATGCGATTGAACTCATCGAAGCAGGCCCAAGCTCCCGACTGTGCCAGGCCCTGAAAAGAAGAAAAAACAAACAAAAATGCATATATAAAAAATAACACACAAGTAATTTGGGCAGTGTACGACTACTAGATACCTTGTAAAAGACTACAGCTTATCTTAAATTATATTTTGAATTCCTTAAACATTCAGCTAAGCTTAATTTTATAGAGACAGATTAGATGTGGAGGAGAGACAGAGAAGGGAAGTTGTAGAAAGAGTGAAAGAGATAAAAAGAGAGAAAAACACAGAATAAATGAGAGACAGGAAGAGAGTTATAAAGAGAGAGAGAAAGGGGAAGAGAAAGTAAGAGAGATGGAGAAAGTGAAAGAGAAAGATATTGACAGAGAGAGAGAAAAAGATATGTAAAGTTATAGAAACAGAAATGGAAAGAGAGAGATAGAGAAAAAGAAACAGATATATGGAGATGCCGAGAAAGATACAGAATTGGAGAAAAAGACGAATGTAAGGATAGAAACGTATCGATTAATCGCAAGTTGAACTTAGCATTTTTAGCCCATTTTCAATAGGTTACAGAGTATTAAAAGAATAGAAACACAAGCAAACTCTCGGTTGGCTTGGGGTAAGGAAAATGTATAACAAAACGCATCCAGCAGAGAAATGGCAAAAATAGCCAAAGCAAACAGCAGCATAAACATTATTTTCAGTTGCTCATCGTTCGGTGCTCGTTCACATTCTCGGTTTTGGTTCGATTTTGCTCGGGCTATGTGTGCTGCGTGTATTTGTTGTGTGCCAGTGTGTGTGTGTGTGTGTGTGTAGTTGCCAATGCCTGGACAAACGGCAAAGGAACAAACATTGCAACATGGTTTACAAATGTAGACGAGTTGTTGCCGCTGCCGACTGCGTGGGTTGCCCTACGGTATGCGGTTCTGGTCGGTTGGGGTCAGATAGTAAACGAGAGAATGGACTTGGGGGCCAATGCAGCGCCCTTTGATATGCTTTTCTTTTGCATGTTGCCAATAAATATGCAGCTTTATGCGAGAGAGTGTGGGAGAGGGCTCGTGGGAGAGAGTGAGCGGGACGGAAGCGTTCTAGAAGTGCTCGTAACATATGCCAACTGACTGTTTGCTGTTGCACAATGAGAAGAAGCTCTACACAGCAGCAGCAGCAGTGGCAAAGCGTTCTTTAAAGGGATTTTATATGCGCTCATAAATAGGTATTATTTAAGGGAACCGGGAAAAAAAACATGCGCTGATAAAGCGGATTTTCATTTAAAGGCGGAAACTGATAAAACTTTAAAGCTAGTTTTAAAAGAAAGCTATAAATTTATAAACTTTTTGTTGTATTGATCTTCCCTTTGATCATGTGAACCGGCTCTGTTGTTTTGTATCAAGCAGCGCCCTTTGGCCACCACTGGTCGCGCCTAGAACACACGCAACAAGAAGCACAACAACATCGATGTGGCATCAACAACATTCGGGCTGTTTTACATGCTGTTGCGCGTTCGCACATTTTTTTCTGGTAGTCGCAATTGTTGTTGCTGTTGTTTCTATTGTGCAATTAGCGCAGGCAGCTATGTGTGTGTGTGTGTTGAAGCCTTCTTTGTTCATTTTTTGTTGTTGTTTGCGTTCAATTCTTTGGCTGGCATTTGGACACTTTGAACTCTATCAAAGTGGTTTGTTGCCTTTGGCAGCTGCAACCAATTTTTTCCAACTGCCTCTCTCACTCTGTGTGCTGCTCGCATCCGCTCATAGATTCATAGATATTGAGAAGTTTTGCGCATTCATTGGACAACTGGCCTTTTGTTTTATTTTTTTTTTTTTTTGGTGGGAAAGAACTTTGGTGAGCTGCCATTGTTGCGGGCATTTTATGGGCATTTCCATTTGCGGAGACGAAAATTGTTTTTGGGGCCGGCTTGCCATATCTGGGCAGGCATAAATCGAAATCGAAATAGTTTGAATTGTTTGGCAATTGCAAATTATTTTATTGCTTGCAAAATTGTTTTAGCAGACTGCGCGTGGAAAATTTACGACTTCCGAAATATTATGGCAAAAACCAGACAGTTGGACAGACAGTTGGAGAGCGGGTGCCCGTGTCATGCATAGAGATAGAAACTACTTTCTAAAAACTAAGCAACTATTAAACAAAAGCAGTCAACAGCTTAAAGCGAATAAATGGCAATAAATGAATGAGCAACACGTTTGCGCTGGCCTTATGTTAGCTTCAGCTTAAATCAAATTAATTAATCTAAATCGAGATTCGAACGCTGAAATTTCGGGTTCTTGTTGTTCTTGTTTGATTTGCGCCAAAAGTTTGTGATTATTTTCGCATGCAAATTAACGCCAACAGACTCAACCCAATTTATCCCAGCTCTAATGGTTAGAAAGAGTCGAAGTGAGGGACCTTTTAACCATTATGCAATTAGGCGTGCTACAGAATTAAGCGATTAGAGCCTCAAACACGCATAAATTTTACTACACACAGCACCCACTTAAGATGCGGTCGCATGTTAGTGTGTGTGTGTGTGAGTGTGTGTGTGTGTGTGTGTGTGTGTGTGTGTGTGTGAGTGTGTCTGTGTGCGTGTGTAAATATGCGTGTGCGGTTAACGACCTGCTAATAAAAATTTGCATAGATTTGAACGCTCACGAAAGCTTTTTAGTCCCAGTCCCACATTTGGCATTCTAGTTGCTTCTTGTATAAAGAGACCAACTAGTCGCCATAGCGATTACTTTCACAAACTACCTAATTAGTCAGACCATAGAACTGCATAAATTTCAATATACAGTCGGGCATTTTAGTCAGCGGCTAACTGTGGTGAACGGCTCCGCCGTGTCTGGACAAAAAGAACGCAAGTCCAAACACTGGAAGAAAAGGTAATTGCAATGAGGGAGATTATTGAATCACTATTATAACTAAAATAATATAAATAGAAAATAATACAAGTGTGTTAAATTCTGGTATTGGAGAAAAAAATTGCAGAAAAATGAAACTTTTTTGAAAAAAATTAAAAAATTAAGAAATGAAAAAAAAAACAAAAATTTTAAAAAAATTGATAAAATTATAAAAAAAATTTCATTAAATTCAAAATAATTATATGATTTCTAAGATTGGGAACTGTACTATATTAAACAAAAAATTTGTGTATAATATTATAAATATTAAAAAAAAAAGAAGCAAATTTATTTTTTATATTTGCTATTGTTTAAACCTTTAATTTTCTCTCACATTTCGCTATTTTGAGCCTAATAAAGAAATGTTCTTAACAAGTGTATTAGACAATTAAGGCTAAGCACTATAGAAAAGCTTGATATATATAAATACTTGGCAAACTTCATGAAATCCGAGCTTAAAAAACAATTTCAGTCTCGCAACTGGTAACCGGACTTCAGGCTAATCCGTTAGTAATTTTCTCTAAGTGTAAGTTGAGCTGCACGTGTGTGTAAATGTGGGTATAAGTGTGTAGGTGTATACTGAAAGTCATCATTGGTGCGCGTGCCGCTGCCTGGGACAGGTTCTTTGATTAATGTTGTTGACCAACATTGGGCCATCAATTAGCAGAAAGACTCGAGCGCACGAGCGTGCGGGGTAGACAGCGTGTCGCAGTTCTCAGAACTCTTAGAAGCAGACACAGAATCCGAAAAACCTGTAGTAGTGAAACAATCGCACACTTACCTTAAAGAACTTGCCCAGCGCTTTGTAGTCGAGGCCATCGGAGCAGTTAAATACGACGCACTTCTTGGCCACAGCCTTGGCCAGATCCTTGCAGGTCTCCGTTTTGCCAGTGCCCGCAGGACCTTCCGGCGCGCCGCCCAAACATAACTTCAAAGCGCCCATCAAAGTGCTACAAAACGGAGAATTAGAAAAGAGGTTTTTTAGTCAGTAACATGTGCGTGGGCGGCTCCGTCCCTATGGACGGGTGGGCGGCGGTGCGGCATGTGCTGCACAGAAGGCAACATGCCAAAGTATGTTTTTAATATCTGTTTTGCGTTTTTTCGCATTTCTCGTTGCTGCAGCTTAAACAATTGTCATTTATGGGTACTTTTGTTGTTGCTGCTGTTGTTGTTGTTCTTGCTGTTGCCAGTTTTTATGCCCCGCACTCATAAAAGCGCTTGCAAAAAAGGGTATAATAAAGCTGTGCAAATGTTTGTGACAAACAGAAGGAGAGATCTTTGAGCCTATAAAATGTGTACAGTAGTCGGTTGTGAACTGACGTTGGACTTTATAAGTGGGTGGGATAATGATGTTGATAAATGGAGATATTTAAAGTCAAGTAACGAGAGTAGAGAGTAGAGAGTCGAGAGTCGAGAGTCGAGAGTCGAGAGTCGAGAGTCGAGAGTCGAGAGTCGAGAGTCGAGAGTCGAGAGTCGAGAGTCGAGAGTCGAGAGTCGAGAGTCGAGAGTCGAGAGTAGAGAGTAGAGAGTAGAGAGTAGAGAGTAGAGAGTAGAGAGTAGAGAGTAGAGAGTAGAGAGTAGAGAGTAGAGAGTAGAGAGTAGAGAGTAGAGAGTAGAGAGTAGAGAGTAGAGAGTAGAGAGTAGAGAGTAGAGAGTAGAGAGTAGAGAGTAGAGAGTAGAGAGTAGAGAGTAGAGAGTAGAGAGTAGAGAGTAGAGAGTAGAGAGTAGAGAGTAGAGAGTAGAGAGTAGAGAGTAGAGAGTAGAGAGTAGAGAGTAGAGAGTAGAGAGTAGAGAGTAGAGAGTAGAGAGTAGAGAGTAGAGAGTAGAGAGTAGAGAGTAGAGAGTAGAGAGTAGAGAGTAGAGAGTAGAGAGTAGAGAGTAGAGAGTAGAGAGTAGAGAGTAGAGAGTAGAGAGTAGAGAGTAGAGAGTAGAGAGTAGAGAGTAGAGAGTAGAGAGTAGAGAGTAGAGAGTAGAGAGTAGAGAGTAGAGAGTAGAGAGTAGAGAGTAGAGAGTAGAGAGTAGAGAGTAGAGAGTAGAGAGTAGAGAGTAGAGAGTAGAGAGTAGAGAGTAGAGAGTAGAGAGTAGAGAGTAGAGAGTAGAGAGTAGAGAGTAGAGAGTAGAGAGTAGAGAGTAGAGAGTAGAGAGTAGAGAGTAGAGAGTAGAGAGTAGAGAGTAGAGAGTAGAGAGTAGAGAGTAGAGAGTAGAGAGTAGAGAGTAGAGAGTAGAGAGTACAGAGTACAGAGTCGAGAGTAGAGAGTAGAGAGTCGAGAGTAGAGAGTAGAGAGTATAGAGTAGAGAGTACTTTATAAGTAGTATAATAGTAAAAATTTTGATTCCCTTTGACCAAGGTGCGATATTTGGAGTTTTATTTCCATCTTCCCAACATTCTTTTCCGAAAGACTTTATTCTATTTAAAATTATGTGCTATAGGGTATTTAATCTTTTAAATGACAAAAGCTTTATACGCTCTCGTTTTTCTTTTTGTTCCATTTTTGCCCATGCAAGTTCATATTTTTATCATATTGGCAGCGCAGCCAGCTCCACGCTGCTTGGCTGTATATTTTTTAGCATTTCCGGTATGGTCATACAAATATCTATACTTTCTTTTTTGTTCCTTTTAACTATGTATGTGTGTGTATGTGTGCGTGGTGTGTGTGTGAAAAACTGTCCAACATTGATTTATTTGTTTAATATAAAAGTTTTATCGGAAACCCCATTAAAATGTCCTTTCTGCCAGCTTGCCAGCAACGGGCTGGCTCTCTCTTGCTGCTGTTGTTGTTGTTGTTGTTTGCGTTTGTCGTAGGCAAAGCTTAAACAACAACAACAACGAAAAAAGGTTTTCAGCTCTTTTTGCGTATTTTGTTGAAAAATGAAAATAAATTTAAAATGCAGTGAAATAAAATAAATATTTTTCCAATAAACGCTGCCTTTCATGACTTTTAGAGCGGTCAGAGAGGCAGCCGATGGCTCAGCTGCTTTGCAAACGTTTTGTCAATTAATGTTTGTGTGTGTGTGTGTGCAGATAATAGTTGTTACCCACCGATAGCAGCGATCCGTGAGCGGCGTAACGACCAAGCGTGGCAAATTGCCAAGGTATTCCATGCCATATTTAACGTCTGTAACCACCATGCTGACGCACACCCAATCCTCGTTCTCTGTGGAAGTAAATTAGCAATAGTACAGGGTATACAACTGCTACTCACTCTCGTTGACCTTCCAATAGTAGCGCAACTGCGATATCCAATCGAAGTCCTGTATGCTAGTAATATGCATGTCCACCAGATACTTGACAACATCGCGAGCTGTTGGATTATGACTTGAATTAAGACTTAAGAGATACCCTATAAAATTACTCTTACTGACCATGCACATCCAGCACAATGAGCGCCTCCACAGCAATGCGCACACCAGTTTGAAGATCTGTACGAACGAGTCGTACCAGGTCTCCAATTTGTGAATTGGACTTCTCCAAATATGCCGGCAGGAACTTCTTCTCAATGGCTTCCTCCACCTGGCAAATGTAAATAGCCGGAGAGCATAAAGTGCATAAAAAATGTGGCAGGTGGGCAAATAAATGGCAAAATATGATTTTCAATTTTGTGAGAAACACGCTCAAAGCCCAGCAGGGAAAAGCGCGCAAGCACAAAGAGCTTCGAAGCCAGCGCGGCTAATCGCACTGTCAGAGTCAGAGTGACAGACGTACAGAAGGACAGACGGAGACAGAGAGAGAGCGAGACAGGCAGCTGCTGGGACAGCTGCTGCGGCTTTTTGGCCTTTGTGGTGTTTTTGCTTTTTGCGGTTGAAATGGATTAAACAAGTTGCTTGCTTACCTCATAGGTCCAGGCAGCACAGGAAATGCCGAGTACAACCTGGCCGGGCCATGATACGACCCAGGAAATACGATCGATCTGGGCATAATCCTCCCAGGATTCTTTCATTTGTTCTAGTACACTATCCAGCATAACATACTCGACCTCCTTCAACCAAATTTCCACCAAGCCCTGTCAAGAGATGAATTTAGTACGAGTTCAAGCGTCGTTAGATAGCCCCATACATTCGCCGATTGCGGATTGATCTTGCGCACCAGACTGACGCGCTCATCTTCATCGCTAATCATTTGCGTGATTTCCATGTTTTCATCGAAAGTTAAGGTGCCAATCTGCAAGAAGATGAGAGTTGTTATGGCTATAAAGAGAGATGGAGCTCTATTCTGCTTACGCCTTCAAAGCATTTGCGTAAATGTGGCTGCACGCGCATTGGATCCTTCGTCTCCGACAGTATTTCGAGCAGTTCATCGTTGGACAAAAAGAAGAAACGGGCAAAGAACAGACGCTTCTGCTCCAAATACGTATTCAAGCCCTTCTGCACCGTCTCCAAATCCTCGATAGCCTTGGTAAATATCTCAAGCATATTGGGATATTCGGTGGCCACCATTACATGCTGATCCTTTAGCGTATTCTTCATAATACGTCGCCAGATCTTATCCACGGCCTTAAAGTTACGGCCCTCCAGCGGCATTTGACGCATAATATCCTCAGAGCTGAAAATGGGCTCCAAATACATCCAAGTGACCTGCACATTTGTCCAGGCATCGATGATATTCTGGATCAGCAACAGTCGCTCCTCCCAGTCATCCGCCTTGGAGCCGAGGGCGACAATGAAAGGCGAACGCTTCATAGCCTGCGTGCGCATAATGTGGTCATCCAGCAGCGTTTGTATATCATCTATAGAGGCCAACAGATGCGTATCGGAATCGCGATACTGGAGCACATCGAACATAACATCGCGCCAATCATTATGCATGTTCTTGAGACCCATATTCAAATCGTATTCCTTGCCCGCTGCATTCGTAATCTCCTCCAGCTCTGGCAATATGCTCATTATATCGGCATCAATCATGTCCTTGAGCGTGGGGTACAGACGCGGATTTATTTGGCGACCCAATATCGCCGATATTTTTTCCCAATGCCGCTTCTCTAGACCATGCCGACAGATGGAATCCAACACGGGCAAATAGACGCGAAACTTTTCAATTTTGATGCGTATCTGCTCGGCGACACGTTTGGCAATCGGATTGTAGGACAACTGGCGCGACAGCTTGTGCATAATCTGGATGGGGATAATGATGAACCGAACGATGGTTAGAGTGAAACGCATGGAGTCAAGTGTCACGTGTGTGGGACTCCTTAAAGCTATCCATCTAATGTGGCTGACTGCTAAGCCGACTTAATGGGTGCCAAGACCGAAGCCATTGGCAGCCACTAACTTTGTATACACTGTACAAATGACTTAGCTAAAAGTCGACTCTTTAGAGCTCTAGTTCCAGTTGAAGAATAATAAATTGGCTTCAACTCTTTAGTTAGAGTTGAATATTAATAAATTGTTAGCAGAGTATTCGCACAGTCGGCTACAACCGACTTGGTTTCCTCAGCTACTTGAGTTTTGCCTAAAAAAAATTTAATTCAACTGCCATTGCCTTTTCCTTTGCCTCTGCGCTTTGAGCCAGCGTTTTTTTTTTAAGACTAACCTAGCTGACACACCCACACTCACACGTGCAGCGCTTAGTCGCCGCCAAATATGTTGGCATTTTTTTGCGTTGCATACTTTTCGGCTGGCTCGGCAGCAGGCCTGACGTTTTTTAGTTGACTTTCAGCTGTAGCATTGGCTTACGAACCAGGAGACACGGACGAAACAGACATGGACGGAAGAGCTATGCATGCAGGCCAGAAATCCGACAACAGCTCAAACTTTGCAGCTGCCTGTGCTGCTCGGCGCTCAGTTTTTATTTCCGCCTGGCACTGACTGCGCAATGACAACTTCAACTTCCGATTCCGATTCCGACTTGCAACTACTTACCTTGAACATGGACTCGATCTGCTCCCGCACGCCATCCGCATTAAGGCATTCGAAGCGCTCGAACATCCTGGCAAAAGATGTAAATAGAAATATACAAAACTAGAGTAAAAGCAAAAGCAAAAAAATGCTGCCAGCAGAAGTTTTTGTGTGACACAGCAACAACTTGAACAACAACAACAACAACGGCAACAACTCAAAATCTGGCTATTTTCCGCTGCACTTGAAGTCAACTTTTCTGCTGGCATTTGCATTGCGGATTTGCCCAGCAGCAGGTTGCTTAGTCCTGCCTGTCAGGCTGTCCGCCTGGCTGGCACTTCAATTTCAAATATTTTGTCATTTGCGACAAGTGCCCCACAATGAAGGAACTAAGAGAGGTGCTCAGCCTGAGACTATGTCATCCCTCAGCTCTCGTTGTGCAAAATAATTGCAAACAATTTTGTTTTTTTTTTGTCAGTTGGCATTGCTTACCAAATGAGATAATCCTTTTCGAATTCGTACGATGTCTTCCATAGTTTTTCAATTGGTTCCATCTTCTCAATGATTTCGGCCAGCAGCGGAAAGGCAGAGACATCAATTTGCAACAGTGTCTCCTCCACATTAATGTTCTTCGCTTCACGACTGAGATTCTGGCACAACAATCAAGATTAGTTGAGCAAATACAGCGACCCTGTCCACTACTAACCTCGATGGTAGAGAAGAGCAAGTCAACTGTATCTACACGCTCCTTGAGGTCATCCAGGGTGAGCACTTCACGTACTTCTCTGATGCGGAAGCCATCCATTGTACGTTTCTCTTGGATGAGTAGCTTTTCAAACTGCAAACGTCTCTCTCTGTTGTATCGAGAAGGGATATTGTGAGTAGGAAAGAATTCTTCTTAGATGGTCAGTCAGTCAGTCAATCATATAGATATATTCCGAACTATTTCAATTATTTTATTCTGATAGCATTGTTAACTATTCTAACGTGTTTTACAATCAATCAAAATCAGTCAGTTTGTCAATCAGCCGTTCATGTAGTCAATCAATCAATCAGTAGCGACAAGAAGTTTTACATGAGTGAATATTTTCTTAACTATTAGAATTTTCCTACAAATTTCTGTGTTATTTAGTTATTCAATCAATCAATCAGCTAGTCTATTAATCAGTCAGTATATTTTTTACTTTATATTGATAAATTCTCAATTCAAGTTATTAAATGTTTAATAAATATTAATATTTCATCAATCAGACTGTTACTCCTGGCTGTCAGTTAATCAGTCAATCAATCAATCAGTCAGTAATACATTAGTTTTCAATACATCAAAACATCAATCATTCTAACTACCCAGCTTAACTTTCAAGTCTAAAACCGCTTGTTTGATTGTCAGTCAGGTCAGTCAATCAGCAGTTCAGTCATAAGTCAATCAATTATTCAGTATAAACAAAATAAGGAATATATACTCAAGCTATATTCTTAAGCTTACGCTTTTAAATTTTGAAATATATATGTTTATTAAATAATGATTCATTACTTCAATCAGTCAATTAATCTCTTGTGCATATATAGATATAAGCTTACCTCAATGCCTGTTCCAGCTTATCCCGCACTACAGACAAGCGTGCGGCACTCAGATCAAGGACCTCTTCAAGTTCACCGGGCAGTATAAATGTGCGGGAATTCAGATGAATTTCATCGCCTGTTGGGCAAGTGGAATCAAGTGTTGACTCTTGGGCTCGGTCTCGCTCTCTCTATCTCTCTCTATCTCTCTCTCTCTCTCTCTCTGTCTCTTCATGTGCTCTGCATGTTCTTAATTAACTGTGCTTAACTCTTAATTAATTGGCTACGCGCGTTTTTCGGGCAAACTAATTAATTATGTGTACTACGAGTATCTTTGATGGCCACCTGCCCGCCCTCCTACAGCTGACAATCTGCCCTGATGACAAGTTTGGCTACGTCGCCTCGCATTTTGGTGTGACAAAAGCCACATTCAAGTGGATAGAGGGGCGCCAGAGGAGAGATGACTTGATGCAGACAATGTAGTTATTTGAAAGATACACACGACACTTGACGATAAATCGCAATTGTCTATCTAGGCAGCTTTACTGTGTATGTGCGAGTGTGTGTGTGTGTGTGAGTGTGTGTGTTAGGGTGTCTTTGTCTGCATTTGTCGGTTGTCAAAGCAACTTTCACACATTCATGAATTTGTTGAGCTCATTAAGCTGCATTTTCGGGGGTTTAACGCAGCTCAATGTTTGGTGTCTCACCGCAAGTAATTATAAAACCAATTAGTAGACTCAGCTTGTTAGTTGAGGTTAATTATGTTAAGCTGCCCCTTCATCATCATCTCCCTTTTCCATCAACACAGTGCAAACACACACACAGAGAGAGAGCAGGACTTGTCTAAAACAAACTAACGCTCTGTATGGCATGGCAGGGCCAATGCACATGCCACTTGCCAGCTGCACAAACAGCTAAAACTTTTAGCCACCCACGTTACGTTGCTATCGGCCCTGTCTACCTGCTCATATAGTCGTCATCCACTTACTGGTCAGATATGAATGTGTCAGCAGAAAGACGACGCGTTTCAACACCAGCTTGATTTCATCTTTGATGGCAAATATTCTCATCTCACGGCATTCGGATATATAGTTCTGCAGAGCAACTACCTCAGGTGTTTCCTCTGGCCGTTCGCCCGCCTTCATCGACATCTCCTCGAGCTCCTCGCATATGCTGATGGGGCACAAAAGAGAATGCATCAAGTGCACATTAAAAGTTAGCCATTTTAAGTAAAGACCTTTGCCGTCAGCACAAAAATAAAAAATAAAACTTTAAATGCATGAATGCACTCAGAGAAAAAGTCGACTTATAAGCTTAACAAAATCGAACAAAAAATATAGCAATATTATAATTATACTAATTAACTAAATCCCCATTATACAAGTCATTAATATATTTTAAAATGTGTACACTGCAAAAAATTGAAGTGAACACTTTATTAGAAACGAATTAGAAATAGTTCGTCTACTTATTAAAAAGAATTAAAGTATTTTTTTTATATATTTATTTGTACACTTAAAGAAACTGTCCTAAACTTCTATCTATAATATACCCCTATAATTAAGACTTTTATCTCTAAGTGCATGCAATGTTTTACATCTTCTCAATTTTCTACTTACGTGCGATTCTCGTTAATGTTGAGCGCTCTGTAAAAATCAATTATAAAATCGTAGATATTCCTTACATACAAGCGCAGCGATTCTTTGACGTGTCGATTATCCAGCAAGAACAAATTTAACGGTACAAAATCACGCAGATAATAGGTCGTATCGCTGATGGCATTCAATTTTTTCATTAATTCCTGAACAACCTGTTGGCGCAAACGAGAGGGCGAGAGTGAGCGAAGGTGAGACAGCGGATGCGATTGCCGAGCGCTCGTTGTAAATGAATATGCATTTAACAACAGAATAAAAATTCGTATATAAATTTATGTGCATGACTGAGGGTGTGTGTGTGTGTGTATATACTAATAACAAGTTGACAAACAATTTTCGAATATTTGATACACTTACAAATAGTTCTGTATTATAAATATGAAAATATTTTAGAATATATTTAGGTAAGTTATAGATCGGATATTAATATTTAATTTCTCATGTCTAAACTTATATTTGTGCCACAATTTTCATAGCAGCTACTAACTACTTAGTCCTTCGCCTTGACAATGTTAAGCTTATGCATAAATTATATATTTAAAAATTTAAAAAAACTGAATGTGCAGTTTGACATTGTATAAATTGGTACCAATTCGACGTCTGCTGTATAAGCTGATATAAGAGAATTCTTTGCCAAGTTACAGTAACATAGCAGGAAAGCATCTCAAGTTGTGTGCTCTATATACGATATTCATTTTGATATTCAAGTTCTGCACTGCTCAGTTATACGATGCCCTACAATTAGTTTTAAACAAACATATTTATTTTATATTAAAAGTTTCTTTTTTCGTATTCCAGCATGCGGAATGCGTTCCTCCCAAGTAAGTGCAATGAAAATATATTACATTTATAGCTATAATTGCGTTAAAATATGTTTCATATATGGCGTTCTGCCTGTTGCATACTTTCGCACAACTTGATTGTACCCTTTTTTTAACATACATTCCCGGCGAGTGCAGAGTGTATATATAAATGAAGAAGCAGAGTTACCAGCCTGCATTACATGCATGAAAAAACTGAAGCAGCGCTGGCAATCGGAAGCAATTTTTATTTTAAATAAATTGCGCAAAAATAAAAATGGATAAATGGTAAAATTGTCGCTGCATTCAGCTTAATGAATGTGAACTGCAAATGGCCGGCAAGAATGGGTTAATTGAGAGTCCTACATATATGCGTATATGTGTGTGTGTGTGTGTGTGTCTATAAATGTTGTTAATGTGCAGCTATCTAACCAAATATTTTATGTATAGCAATGGGCAAGGCACGTTTTGTTTTCAGGCACTCGACAGGCTGTCTACGAATTAGCAAATCGAACAAAGTTTAATTAACAATGCCAAATTAATGCTGTGAGCCCCGTACCGCAGTTAGCATCAACTATGCAAAGGTCGAACCTATGAACTCGAAAGAGAAATATGTCGAAATGTGTGGGCTGACCATGCCAGACTAGCAGTTACTCTGTGTCAGCTTATAGACTTCCTGTTAGAAAGTGCTTGACAAGCAGATAAACAGGAAGAAACTTTAACTATAAGTTATACTCTGAATATAGCTGATCTAAGCTGTGCCCCTAGAATTTGTCTTGCCTTTGGTATACCCTGTCTAATGCTGATAGCAGGGCATCTTCATAGGCAATGCACAGCAGCTACAAATACACACAGTCAACTGTTGTTGGGCATATAAATTGTTCAATTACACAAATTGCCCGTCAGTTCTTCCGTTCGTCCGTTGGTCTATCTGCCGCTTAGTCAAACTGTCTGTCAGCAGTTTATTAATATTGCATAATGAAATTTTATGTTAATTCTACGCATCATTGCGTGTAATCAAATCGAAATAAATAATTAAATTCATTTTAAGGCGAGACGCAGTCAAATGCCCAAAGGCTTTTAAGAGCATGCCAAATGTCAGGGATGCAAGGCAAACAATCTAATGAGTGTACACACACACACACGCATGACTAGGCTATATAAGTGCATATAACTTTTGGTAAATGCAGATTTCATACGCACCATCAAATCGGGCAAGGTATTATCAGTCCACATCTTCTCCACCATAGGCAATATCAGTTTTTTGAACAATCCATAGTAATATTTATAGATGGGCTTCAAGTAGACACTAACACCACGCCAATTTATCTTCACAATTTCCTCAACTTTTTTGCATAGTGTTAGGAAGTCCACATGATCCTCATCAATGTAATTCAATGTGCCACTAACTTCAGCAGCTGTGAAGAAGCGGATTGATGTATTGCAACTTTAAAGAGCTGCAGAATCTTTCCACTTACCTCCACCAGACATGACACACTCAAGACGTGGTATATCATAGCCCACAGATAAGATGCTTTTAAAAAGATCTCGTATAATAGCTGGCAGCTCTACCATATACGGATAGATATAGAGCTTGGAAGCGTTGTGCATTTCAAACATGGCCACATCATCTATATCGGGTACCTAGTCCAAATATAAATTTATATATAAGTCCATCTTTAATTATTAGTTTTTCACTTACAATTTCCAACACCGGATTTGTCTGTCCCGGCTGTTGAAATGGATCCGCATCATCAGCATCGAATACATAAATATTTTCATCAGCCCGCACGCCGGGTCCAAAATCAATTGGTTCGTTATCAAAGTGGGCGCCCACGACGGAGACGGTGAGCGCCAGCAGAGGCCTGCGCTGCAGCTTCTTATCGAACATGGAATATTCGTCTATTTCATTGCCATGCTTATAGCTACACAGCACTTTGAATAGATAAGCCAAACTCTTATTGATCAAACTCTCCAAGTGGCGCGACATTAGAGCGTGAACGCACTTTAATAGGGTCTCTGCGCGTCCACCATACTTGCCCGTCATGGGCACCATGTCCTTCCAACTATTGCGCATGAGATCCATCAGATCTGCACAACGGGGCAGCCAATCGTTGACCAGAAGCTGTTGGAGAAAAAGAATAATAATGGGATCTTCAATGATGGGAGGTGGGAATGGACAATATTCAACTGATCTTGTAGATCCCCAGTCTACAGGAATGAAACCATCTAAGGCATAATCTTGCCTTGCTCTACTCACGTCTTTAATTTGTGCACAACTATCCTTGACAAAGTCCTGCACCACGTCCGCATCCAAAGGTCGTTGGCTGAGCAACAACTTGGACAAGTCGACAATGACCAAATCCCCGTAGAGCTGATGCCAAAGCAGATTCAAAGCTTGCACCGTCGGATGCGTAATCATAAGCATCTCACCAATACGGCTCTTGGCGAGCAACAAACGCGATCTCCAAGGCACAGGCGAGGTGATGGTTAGTATAGGAAAATCCGGCGGTTCCGGTTCTAGCTGTAGACGCTTGCGTTCCAAATTGGATCTGTAAAACAAAGCTGCACTTCAAGAACTGACAATTGAATGATTACTCACTGCAGCAGATAGCGTAGAAAGGAGCGCTTGACATGATAGCGAAAATCTTCCTGCAGATCGATTAGGCAAACGATGACAAGGACAGCAAACTCTTGGCTTATGGGACGCTCCCCCACAAACAGATAATCGAATAAGATTACCTCGGGCGGCAGTTTGGGCCAATATTTCTGTAACGAGTTGATTAGGTGAACTAAATCACATGGCTCAGGTACGATAAAGTTTGAAAATCAGCCCAAGGCGGCAAAGCGAAGCTGACAGGTAGCCACGTTTTGTTATACACTTGCAAAGCATGTCGAGAGTCGAGAGTCGAGAGTCGAGAGTAGAGAGTAGAGAGTCGAGGGTCGAGAGTCGAGAGTAGAGAACTATCAAAGTTGTCAGATTCATCTTCCTTGAAGGAAATATTCATCCTGTAAACTATTGCTGTATCTCAGCTAGAGCATTAGGAGTTCGACCTCTCATAGATAATGCGTCTTTCTGTTGCTCATTAACTTGACTGCACTGATTTGCTAGTTGGGGGTGTGGCAAATGCTTGACTAGAAGCAGCATTTCTATCCGAGCTGAAAGTTTCCTTGGAGCACACGTCAAAACATCAACACGCGTTTCTTTCTTCCTCTTCTTGCCGTCGCACTCCCTGTTTATGCTAAGACCTCGACATTCTCACGTCCGGGGAGCGTGTTTAATATGTTCTCGTTGCTGACAAACTTTTGGCCCCGAAAACTTTTTGAGCGCGCGTTAAGTTTGCTAATAATGTTGACGCTTAGTAGACCCACTTGCCGTCTAAGTCTGAGTCGCAGTCGGAGTCGGAGTCAGAGTCGGAGTCGGATTCTCAGTCGCAGTCAGTCAGAGTCGAAGATGAAGTCCGTATATGAGTAGTTGGCAACGTGTTGACATTAAACTTCTTACCTCTTCCTGAAGTATGAATCTGAAGGCATCCTGCAGCACAACGTTACGTGAGTCGATGAAACGTATGGCCTTACGTATTAGACGTGAAGGATACGTTTCCAGCTGTAGCACACACATCTGCAAAAGCAAGCAAGCATCATTAACTGTTACTAAGTAAAGCACTTTGAATGTCTGATTGACTGACATAATTAATGATCAACTAACAGTTTAATTGGTTGAAACTGGGAGCCAAAAGCAACTGCACTGTGACTCAATGAAGAACGTAAAGTAGGACCTAAGAGCAGATGCATAATTAGAAATTTTCCTGCTTATATTTATATATATAAAGAAAATGATTGGAAAAGATCATCCGTCAAGTGCTGCAGTTAAGAGCTAAAAACCGTAAAGGCCATAAAATCTTCATAAAATCGTCACCTTTCACACTCTTAGACAGTTACGTTATTTATTTGGCTCTTTGTTTGTTTGTTTATTGTTTTTCGTGGTGTTTTTTTTTAACAACTAATCACGTTATTCATAACTTTGGGCCACACCACAAAACGCCCCCGCACAATGTTTATGAGCTATGAATTATATAATTTTTATAAGCACGTTTCAGCAGCCAAAAGGCAACGCAGCTTAATTTACTCGCACGCTCACGCACACATATTTACTTTGTATTAAGTTTATTATTATCATTTTTTATGTGCGTCTCGCACTCGGACTTGGACACGGACAGTGGGATAGATGGACAGTTGGACAGACAGACTCTGGCCACGGGCACCAGGCAACAGGCTACAGAGCAAAAACGCATAAAAGTTATTTATGTCTGTGTCGGTGCTCATTTTTGATGAGCTTTTTATGATGGCACAGCTACACAGCTGCCTGGAGATCTCGTCAGAGTTAGCTTTTCGGCATGTCCTTTTTAGCATATGTTGGTCAGCTTCATAATTCAATAGAAAACAAATAAGAAGCTCTAGTCGGGAGCCTGACTTGGAAATACCATGAACTCAAGTTTCTAGCTTTTATTGGTGCAGACAGGCGCACAGACGTCGACGAAAGCAAAAATATATTTACTATATACCCTAATTTCCCATTTTCACTGGGTTAAGGCTATAATAAGTAAAATCTCTTTAGCAGGGAGTGCACAACTAAAAGATACTCTGAAGGCCTATTAATAAGCTGAATCAAAATTGTTTTTAAAAATTCTTTACTTCGACTGATCTATGGAGTAGCTGACTCATGCTTCTGCTCGTTATATACATTTTTTAAAAAGCACAATACTCTTAATTTTAATATTCGGGAATAACAAGTGTAACTTACGCTTTGCAACAGGCATTTGTAACGTTTCTGTACAGGCAATGTAAACTTGTTACTGGATATCAAAAATTGCTTCTTATATTTAAGCAACTGCTTACATTTCTGAATTTCTGGATCCACTGGCTGCAACGGTGTCATGTAGGGAAAGCGGCTATAAAAAAAAAATGTTGATGAAATTCTTTCGTTTGGGTGCATGGAAATCTCTTACGTTGCTTCCATTTTCTTCAGGCAGCGAAGAAACTCTTTGTTAGTAGCAAAGTTTTTGCGCTGAATGCGCTGTGTATCTGGGCTACATTTGGCCTAGAAGAAGAAATCATTAGCAGAGTCCTTCAAATATTTTATACGATGATCTGTGAAGCAGTCATCACACGTTTAATGTCCAGCTCTTACAGATCTCAGTTTCGCCTCTACACCGGCGCACGGTCGTTCATCGGAATAGCTAAGCAATCCATGCTCAATATTGTGTTCAGCCTCTTTGAGAACTGGCTCAATCATCTTATCAATTATCTTGCCCACGCGCATTAGCTCATTTCGGCATTCTATGCAAATAGTTAGGGTATTATAAGTCGAGCTATCCTTTGCATGGTGTCCATTTGTTACCCTGTGGCGTTCGCAACGCATAATGATCGCCAGCCTTAAATTCGGTCTTCTTCGTGTCTTTCCTCCTATTTAGGGTCGTCACACGCAAATGCCTGGCCGTGGGCGTATTATAAGCTCCAATCTGTTCCGAGGGCGTGCCATATTGGCGACGCAGCTGATTGGCCCAGAGCGAGGAGCGTGTGCCGCAATTAAAGTAGAAAATGCGAACGCGTCGCTGGCAATAAATGTCCAAAAGCTTGTTGGTCATTTCATAAATTTCCTTTTCGCTGGGCTTCTCTGTGGGTTAGGGGGGTGCGTCAAATTTTTAATAATGCTCTCGCTATGTCAATATATAAATATTTATTTTTTACCGCCATTCAGCCATTTGTCAATCCAGGGAAATTGATTACAATCTGCAAGTAAAAACAAATGAAAATCAAAATGAAAATGAAAATGAAAATGCAAATGCCATTTAATATTTGCACATCAACTTGATGTGTGCTCACATGTGTGCATGTGTGTCTGTGTGTGTGCATTTTATATATTTGATTTTCTTGTTATTTTTTTGCGTTCGCTCAAAGGCCGCACGCAAATGAAAATTGTTTTAAATAAAAGTCAGTGCAGCAAAGTTCGCTTTTAAAATGATTAAACTCAAATTAATTTTCATTTCCGGCCCTCCATGCCCGACCCCCGAATAGCAGACGAAACCTGCTGGCTATTCTGTTTGTGCCCACGTGCTGCTGTAATTTTGCCAATGGACCTCGTCCCTTGCTCCACAGCCGCCGTCCATCCAGGGTGCTGCTTGCCCATTGCTATCATGATGTTTGTCACATTTTATATATGCTAATGTTTATCAACAACATGCTTTTATGCCTCATATTGTGTATTGGTCTTTTTCTGTGAGTTTGTGTGTGTATGGGCGGCATGCCCCGCGTGCTGTTTGCATTTACATCTATCCATGGTATGATATTAAATATTAAAAAACTATACATAAAATGAAACATTTTTATCACAGAGCCAACGACAAAGTCAACCTTTGGCCAAACAAGTTGAACATGCACAAAAAAAGAAATAGCAAACTATTGTATACACTTTATAAAAATATACTCTATTAGCTAATACATTTTAAATTTGTGACAACTTCAAAATAATTTTATTTATTTTATTAATTTTGTTCTTTTTAATATAATTTTTTTATATTTTACAACTTTTACTTAGTCAAGTGTTTATATACATATTTTCATATACTCCACTTTTATGTTAAATAAAATACTATGATAAACATGTAACAAGCTTTCTATGGCTGCGCTGCAGTTCGGTTCAGGCGCATTTGGAGCCTGCTCCCAAAGGATATTCAAATAAATGTCATATGTATTTTTTTTTTATTTTTTTGTTTTTTTTTGGTTATAAAATTTTATGTTTAAAGGATAATGTTTGAAATTTTTATGTTTGCAGGTGAGCAATATTCCAACAAGCTCAGGGGAATGCCAGCAGCTGGGGCAATGTGGGTGGCTGGGTGGTTGGGTGGTGCACATTTAATAAAGTATTAAGTGTGATGTTATTGTGGTTAAGTTCTCTCTCTTTCTCTTTGTGTTGTTATTGAATTTTGTTAAAAATGCTGCTGTTAGGCAATTTGTTTGGCTCTACCTTTTCCGTTTTATTTTTTTTTTTTGGATTTTAAATGCGCAAATGTTGTTTGAATTTTGTTTTGTGGCATTTGGCACTCACCTCTGCTATCGAAATTATATTCATGATTCTTGGCATCGCGCAGCATTTCAAATTTTTCGGGCATTACAATATCCTGCAGTCGCAGGCGCTGCAGGCTATCATCCTCGCATTCTATGTAAACGTCCTTCACATTAACCAAATCGTATGTATGAAAATCAAATTCACGATTACAGCGACCAACAATGGTATCATTCTGCATGTGAGCTAAAGATGTTAGGAGATATTGTTAGGGATATTCACATTATATTAGAAAAGCTCTAGCCATGTCTGTAAAGCTTGTATTGATTGCTGCTCAGTATCAACTGTTGTTTGCAGTGCCTCTAACTCGAACTTCTAACTTAAGAACTTCTGAGAGAACTCTGACAAATAGCAGACAACTAGACTATAGAAGACTTCTAGACACAGTTCAATGATGCTTCATATTGGACACACTGATTTCAACCTCTTCCAATGACTTACAGATCTTCTCCAACAGAAAGTCCTTGATTGGATCCAGTGGCAGCTCATCGAAGCTATATTTCAAATCGAAGAAGGGGCAATCGTTGAGTGGCCTCTTGCTACTCTTCTTGGTGACCTCGTTTTCAGACGGGCGCTTCAAGTGCAGCGTGCGCTGTCTGCGGAAATTGACATCGGTCAGACGGGGATCGCAGTATGGACGCCTTTCCGGCGCGATCTTCTTTGAGGCCATGACGATGGGCCGAACTTTTGTTGTTTAGTCTGTTGGGTAAAACAAAGAAATAAAACAAAAAAAATTTTGTTCTTGTTGCTGTTTTATGGTCGGGTACTATTTTATTGTTGTTTTTGCTTTTTTTGTCTTTATGTTCTCTGACATTGTTCGCCAAACGAGAGGGAAAAAACAACAAAATATGTTGAAATAAAAAAGAGAGACTCTAATAATAAAAGTTTACAACACGGACATTTGTGTGGCCGGCCACTCACTCGCTCGCTGATATACGTGAAATGTTTATAAACAAACTTCGGATCCGGTGGCAATGGCAACAGCCCGGACAAACAACCCAGCGCTTGGCAACCGACAAACGACCAGCATTCACTCCTCCCGCTGTCTCTGCTCAACGGCAACGGCGACGGCAACGGCTCCGATTCCGGCTTGCTACGGCTTGCTGGCTTGCAAATGTGGTTATTGGAGTTAGACCAACAGCAGCTGACGAGCAGAGACGGCGTCCTGGCTGACACTCCATCAATAGATGCTGCTGCTCAGCTTCCCTTTACTCTCACTCTCACCTGCTTCCAGCTCAATAATATTTGATACCTGTGTGCATGTGTGCGTGTGTTTGTTTGTGTTTGCTTGTGTGCTGTATAAACAGCAACCAGGCAACTGCTGCTACTGCTGCCGCTTCAGCTGCAGGTAACCTGGGCAACATTTCTTGAATTGCGCACATTTTTTAATAAAGCGCAACAAATACGAACTCCGTCTCATCTATATAAAGGATATAAGTACACGTCCTGCCTGTTTATGCCAGGACAACCATTTTATGCCAGGACCTACAGCTGCGTCCGCCAACCATAACAACCCCACCCCACTGTCTCTGTGTATTTATTATCCAATCGCAGTGACGGGCAACGTATTCGCCCTCGTCATTCAACCTGATTATATGTTCACAATAATAAATATAATAATAATACTCATAATAAGCCTCCATCCATCCATCCTATATACTGCACACATACATATATGCGCTTGCAGCGTTTGCAATTACACAACTGTGTTGAGCAACTTGGCCGCATTAGCTCTAAAGTTAGCTCGAAGTGTTAACTTTAAAAATTTTACTGATGATAAGTTCACAAATGAATCAGCTATAAAAAATCTACTGTCGCAAAGGCTAATGGAAGTGTAAAGTGAGGATCTACTTTGATGTATTCAAATTATCGATAAAATTTTCGGTTTCAATGAAATCAATATGAAGTAAAGATCTGCAAATTCCATACTATCAATGGGAAGAAAAACTATAGTTGGGTGTAATAGGTATAGCACTCACAGATCAGTGTTATTGAAAAAAATTGATATTTTTTTAGTTTATATTTTTTTATTATTATTATATCAAATATCTAATGTGTTTTAAATTATCGATAACTTGTTCTGCTTCCATGATAAAATACACAGATAAAATATGTTCAAAATTATCGATAACTACTTTTGTTTCCACGACATCAATATGAAATAGGCATAATATTTATAACACTAATAGATCAGCTTTATTTTAAATTATCGATAATTTTTCCGGTTTGAATGAAGTCAACTAAAAATGCTCTATTCATATCTCTTATATCTTTAGACTTAATTTGATAAATTTATTAAATTCATTGTTAATAAATTTATTAAATTTAATTTTGTTTCTTTTCATTTTTATTTCAATCAAAATTAGCTTAAAGAGGTCAAAACGATTCATTCATTCAAAATTAAATTTTTGTTCAAATGGCAGCTGTGTAATAATTAACTCAAGCAATGGATATTATCTCGCTGTCTCTATATAGACATACATTATAAAAATAGAATCGACATGGTGATTGAGTTGGAGACCAATTACCAGCTGCTTCTGCTTCTTTGTGTTTGCAGCATTGATAACAAGCGTTGCCTGAATGAGACGATGGCAGAAACTTGAGCATCTTGAGCAAAAATGTCCAGCGTAGCGAACAGAAAATTATAGTGCAAATATTGAGGAAGGTAGTTGTAAACATATATATATATATATAAATACAAGAATGTGTAAATAATCAAGGTAAGAGTGTGTTCTAGGCAGTCAAATAAGCATAAAGACTATAAATAGTATATTATTTTCTATTGTTTTGATGTCTTTGTGAAACAATGATCAAAATGAAAAAGGACGACTAAAGGACCAACTACATACATTTTATATATATATATACACATCGTATATACATGGCGCAATTATCGCTGCAATTAATTGTGGCAAATTAATTGGAAATTTGATTAATGGTCAAATGCTGTCCGTGTGTTGCGGTATCCTATTTACCATTTACAAGGCATTCAACTTTGAACAAAGCTGCAAGTGTGGCAAGTGTGGGTGGGCGTGCGAGTGTACATGGAGTATATAAGTTTGTACGTGCATGTGTGTGTGTGTGAGTGTTATGCTTAGTTCAATGACAAGTCGTGGGAATGGTTTATCCTACCGCACTGGCGACCTGCTGTCACGTGCCTAAGCTGCCCGGGCTGCAATTTGCCGCTCACAGTGGACTTTGCAGGTGTCAGTTGGACGACGGACAAGCACGGAAAATGGGTACACGGAATCCGGCGTGCCGCTGCACTGCGTCCAAAGCCATGCGTGACAAATATTTATTAACTGTCAGTGTCGGCAAGCCATTGGGCTCTCCCTTTTAGAAAATTGTTGCAATTCCATTTGCCAGCGGCTTTGCAGAAAACTAACAGGCAAGGCAGAGCAAGAGCGAGAAAGAGAGAGGAAGAAAAAATTGATTCAGCTCATCAATTGTCACAAATAATGATTACCACGCATTTTCAGCTGAAGCGACGGCTGTGCATGACACGCATCAAATTGCATTTAGTTTAGTTATGTCATTGGGCTAAACAAAGGGCTGCACAGCGAGTGGGTGGATGGTGGAGTTGGAGCGGGAGAAGCAAGTCGACAGTCACGTGACCTCATTGCTAAAAATAGACAGCGGCTGGGTGGGTGGCCTGGGCTGTGCTGGGTTGAGCTGGGCGTAACGTAGCGATTACAGCAGCTACATCAACATCAACATCATTATTAACAAAGTCAACGAACAGCGGCTTATTGGCAGGCATAATGCGATGGCGCTGTGTCATGCACCAGGCAGTCAGACACAACCCCTTCCCGACTGACTTTAAGATTAAGTTACAAATGTGCAAGTTGCAGGCATCAGATAGTCGACGTTTGAAGGCTCTTACAATTATCTTGTTTTTGACATAGAGCCTTAATCGCTTAGTAATTCTTTGAGTGTCTCCCAGAAGAATTTAAATTAGGCTTGAAACATCGATATTGTAAAAGAGTAAAAGAAAAGTTATCGATTTGGGTTATCGGTTTATTTGATGACTTATAGTTTAAAATATCTTACAAGCGAAACTTTTAGCTGAAATTGCCTAGATTTTTAGCCTTCTCTCATTTACATTCTCAGACACATTTATCGGTTAAGATTATTGCACAACTTATCGATCATACATTTTTGTTACAATCGATCTTTAGAAATTGTAATATATATTTCATATTCTAGCATTTGTTTACTACCATATGGCTTAACAAAGTGAAAGCCAAACTCATCTCAATATTCTTCATAATCAATTTCAGTTAGAGCATAATTAAAGAGCTCGACGGACACTGTTGATGGCAAAACTTTCGCATTCTTTCGTCTTTTTGTTCTTTTTTCTGTATTTGTGTTATGCATGCCGAGGCACATTTTGTTCACGTGATTAATGGCCAACTGTAAAAGACGTCGCGACTTGAAAAATTACACCCAAATAAACGACGAGGGCGGCCTCGTTTCGTTTTTTTTTTTTTTAACAGGCTGTCACACGTGAGCAGAGAGAGAGATAGAAGATGGAAGGAAGCTGGATCAGCAACAAGAGAAACAGCAGCCAGACGCACGTAAAAGATGCAACAGGAGTCAGCAGCAAATGCCGTGTGATTTACACGCAGCAGCAGGACAAACGACGAAGAACGCAGAACGAGTTTGGGGTGGCTTGGGCTGTGTGCAAATTAGGGGTTGCCGGCGCTAAGACCGGGTTCCATTGTCGCGCACGCTACTGTCAATTGAAAACGTGCCAACAATTTGCAACGACGATTAATCGTGCTACCAATGTCAAAGCTGCAGCTGCCCTGGCGTGGCTCTGGTCCAGTACAGAAGCAAAGCGTATCCCTTTGAACGCTGGGACATTTGTGCATGTCTAGCGCGTTTAGCATGTTGTTTACGACCAAGTTTTGTGGACGGCACCGCCTTTAAGCTAATTTCAGTGAATTTTATTATGCGTAGATATGCCACGCCCGCAACCAAGCCCACTCACTGTCTAGTTGGCAAATGCCTAATGAGCACTTAATACCCCGCCACTAATTGGCTTGAATCAGACATAAGGACTGCCGTCTTTTGTTCAACTACGGATTATGCGAAGTAGCATTGATATGCCATTGTACAGTAGAAGGGAGAGGAACTTCATTGCAATTAGTTTTGCATGTCAACGTATCTGTCTCTCTCTCTCTCTCTTTCCAGTACAAACAGTTTCTCTTTAATTTGATATGATTAACATAAATAACAAGTATCATAATGGCAGAATAATGCCTTCAATAACAAATAACCAAATCAAGCAGTAGTGCTTCAAGAGATATGCGTCGGCTTAGTAATACGCTGCAGCTGCAGCTGGTGGGATTAAAATTGCCAGCATATTGAACATAGATTACTGAGTAGAACTGCAAAACAACGCACTAGACGTTTCTCTATGAGCCTAGGTCATATCATTCAGCATTAGTTTGATTGAACTATTCAAAGGAGGAACAGCTGAACGTTGTTTATGAGCAGTGATTCGTCAATCATGAACGTTAGTCTGTGTATAGTTATAAACAATTTAGTTTGTTAAGTAATTCATAAGCATTACGATCTATGAAGTTATTGTCTAGTTCATGAACGAACCACTGGAACTATTGTAAACAACTCTAAAACCTGACTAAGCTTTCGTGAAGGAATAAAATCCAATACGAACTAAACTTGTGAATGAAATGAGCTAAAGTGAATTATTATTTGTCTTACTGCTATACTATGTATACTATAAGTTATAGAAATGTAGGTAATTAGAGATTATTCAGTGCACGTCTGACAGGTATAAATAGATGACATATTATAAATTTAGAGATTTACTAAAGTCTAAAGCAGATTCTTATTAACCAATATACTCAATTTTCATTATGTGAATAGAGTGTTAATAAAATATATATTCATAAACATGATATGAAATCATTTGCTCACATCACACGCACACACACACACATACACAAATACACACAGAATAGCTCATCATTATAGGCTTTTGTATGCAATTACATGCCGCATTGAGCAATCATAAATTAGCTTTTGGAAATGTTCAATTTAAATAAAAAACCAGTAAGAATTTATGAAGGTAAGTATAGGCGACTAGCTTATGCTCGTTGATAGTACACAAAGCGCTTAAAACTTGCGACATATCTAAATATTTGCTTATCTTTAGTTGTGTCTCTTGCCGAATGACTGGTGCAAAGACAAACTTCTCAGTATATACTCTAACATACAAGTTCAGTTATGGCTTGGAATCTAATATACTCCATTGGCATATAGCTAGCGAGCATAAAAATTAAATTAAAATTAACAAAAGGTATTTTCCAGCAAACAAATTTAATGCCCATAATGAAAAGTGCGTCCGCTCGCATCGGCATTAATAATACACCAATTTTTTATGCCACTGCAATGCAGTTTTTGTCATTATGAATATGAGAATATATATCATTAAAATAAAATTGGAAAAAAGAAATGAAAATAACCCATCTATAAGCCGGCAACTGCCAACTGTATTTATATTTGCTTT